AGAAGGTACTTGCCTCAGTCGGAGAGACGATCATCACAGAAGATCAGTTTCAAGTTTCTGACCGGTTCTCCAAATCTTCATTGGCAACATGTTTTGTAGCTTGACCTAGCAGTAGAGTCACCAGAGAGCATCAAAGCCAAACCCAAAGAAAAAGGGACCTCAGTGGGAGATGAAAACATCAGAACCAATCAGTTTCTGACCTATTTCTCCTCAATCCTCACAGGAAAGATTGGCGAACAAAGCTGCCACAGCCTCTCTTTGTGCAACGTGGTGCTTGCTCAGCGGTCCAGACATTGTGTCAAACATCGCCATCAGGTTAAGAACCCTAAGCGAAACGAGGAATTCCAACAGACACGTTGTCATCACTGCAAATCACGTACCAAGCGACTCAAGTGCGAAATCGGGAGAAAACTGCTACATAGACACGCCAGTTTTTGCGATGCCGCGAAAGCAACTGGGACCAGCTAGCACACAAACCAGCCTCAACAAAAGCAACCTTTACAAAAGATATCAAACAACTGCCCTTCACGTATGAACACAGTCGGTTGGTCAGCTGTCAGAGGTGAAAAATTGAGCAACATCAGGGGCTCAGCTAGGGATAGTTGTTTTGCAAGTCTGCATCACACCAACCAAATCATACCAAATCAAAGAACATTATCCAGAACTTGTTGCCTCAGCCAGAGAGTTTCACATCAGAGATCAGCCCAAGTTTCTGACCGATACTCTCAAGATCCTCCCCGGCATTCTGCTTTTGCTGCCACAAGTATCAAGAGCACACTGCATGCGCAAACATCAAACAAACCCCATCCAACGGAACCTCAGTAGGAGATGAAAACGTCAGAGCCAATCAGTTTCTGACCTATTTTCCTCCATCCTCATAGGAACGATTGGCGAACAAAGCTGCCACAACCTGTCTTTGTGCAACGTGATGCCTGCTCAGCGGTCCAGACATCGTGTCAAACATCGCCATCAGGTTAAGAACCCTAAGCGAAACGAGGAATTCCAAGAGACATGTTGTCATCACTGCAAATCACGTACCAAGCGACTCAAGTGCGAAATCGGGAGAAAACTGCTACATAGACACGCCACTTTTTGCGATGCCGCGAAACCAACTTGGACAAGTTAGCATACAAACCAGCCTCAACAAAAGCAACCTTTACAAAAGATATCAAACAACTGCCCTTCACGTATGAACACGGTCGGTTGGTCAGCTGTCAGAGGTGAAAAATTGAGCAACATCAGGGGCTCAGCTAGGGATAGTTGTTTTGCAAGTCTGCATCACACCAACCAAATCATACCAAATCAAAGAACATTATCCAGAACTTGTTGCCTCAGCCAGAGAGTTTCACATCAGAGATCAGCCCAAGTTTCTGACCGATACTCTCAAGATCCTCCCCGGCATTCTGCTTTTGCTGCCACAAGTATCAAGAGCACACTGCATGCGCAAACATCAAACAAACCCCATCCAACGGAACCTCAGTAGGAGATGAAAACGTCAGAGCCAATCAGTTTCTGACCTATTTTCCTCCATCCTCATAGGAACGATTGGCGAACAAAGCTGCCACAACCTGTCTTTGTGCAACGTGATGCCTGCTCAGCGGTCCAGACATCGTGTCAAACATCGCCATCAGGTTAAGAACCCTAAGCGAAACGAGGAATTCCAAGAGACACGTTGTCATCACTGCAAATCACGTACCAAGCGACTCAAGTGCGAAATCGGGAGAAAACTGCTACATAGACACGCCAGTTTTTGCGATGCCGCGAAACCAACTGGGACCAGGTGAAAAATTGAGCAACATCAGGTGCTCAGCTAGGGATAGTTGTTTTGCTAGTCTGCATCCTTCTCACACCGAACGAACTCTGTTATCAAAGCAGAAAAGCTACAGGAAAAACCATCTGCAACACCGCTTCAAAGGATGAATAAAAAAAAAACTGCAATTTGCTCCCTAAAAATTCTGTGAGTTTCTCCAAATTTCAGAAGGGGTTGGGACTGGAGAGGGAAATTTTGCCAGAATTTCTGAGATTTGCTGAAATTGCTTGAAGAATCTCATCCCAAAAAAAAACATGAAAAACACCCCATTAGAAACCATGGTTTAGTAGGGAAATTCCACATCATTGGGGCCATTTCGGAGGTATTTTAATATTAGGGGGATGGGAGAATTTTGAGACCTTTACGTTCACCAGATCCGAAAAACTCCGCTGATTCCCCGACGTTCACACCAGACCAGCACCAGACACCAGCCGGGTGGGGGGGGAAGTTTGCGCACCACCAAGGGGAATGGCACTTCGCGGCCCACAATCTTCACATACATCGGGATCCGCAATGGACCTGGCTATGGGACAAGAAAACGGCAAGAAAAAACGCTGACTTTCTGTTTCATGTTTGCTGATTCTCAAGGTCTTTAAAGCTCGTGAACACGGAGTTGTTGTACGGATTTTAGTTGATTTTATGGTGGAAAGATATGAAGAAATTGGTGGCAAGAGTTGGTCCTTGAAAAAACTGGCAATGCCCAAACTGACCTTGACCTTTCTGAAAACTAGAATAGACCCTCAAAAATGGCTGGAAATGATGTTCGGACATGGGGAAATGGATGGAATTGGCAATCTTTGAATCCCATTTTTTCAGGTATCCTGTTTTATCCCGATACTTATTGGACGTCAAAGTTCACAGAGCTCTGTGCACTGAAAAAACGATTCGGTGCTCCTAAAACGTCCATCACTTTTCCTGGTTGAGTTTCCTGAAAGATATGGAAACCAGTGAGATGGGGCCAAGGGGAAAAAGAACCATCCTTGAAACCACGAACCAGAGGCGAATTCTTCAAGAAAAGTCGCTGGGTGTCAATCTCATCATGTTGTATCAGCGTAAGATACAACATATTAGCACGAGAGTAAAAAATGTAAAAACCTTTCAGGAAGACCAATTGCTGCTTCTCCCATGGTTCAGATGAATACCTTGCTGATTTGCTGCTCATTCATCTCATTCTCGATATTCAATGGACTATGACTGTCCATCCTCAAAAATTCATACAGTCAATGGATTGGTTTTCACGGGAAAATCTGAACCGGAAAACCCCATTATATAATTTAATGGGAAAATCGATGGTTTCCGGTGAAAATTGTCCCGGCTAAACCAATCCAATCATACAGAAAAACCAGGTTGTATAGCTATAGATGTCCAACCCTGAGATTTGTGACCGTTGTGACCCACCCCACAACCGCTACGCCGCGACGCGCCGCTCCACCTGCCGTGTGGGCCGTCAGGGTCACGGTGATCACATGTGAGGCGCAGGGCGGGACCGTGCCCACCTAGGTGCCGTGGCGGGGGTCGTGCGGGTCGGATTGTAATAATCTCCCCAATATGATACAATATATATACCCTCTGGTTATTTAACATAGCCATGGAAAATGCCCCATTTATAGATGGTTTACCTGGGTTTACCTATTAAAAATGGTGATTTTCCATGGCTATGTTAAATAACCAGAGGGTATACGCCAATAATATATATATATATATGTACATATTAATATATTGTATAATACAACTGTAATACAACTGTATAACATTGTATAACTCCTGAACCAATCATCAACCAACAGGCTTTTTGAAGAGACCCCTGCGGCCTGTGTCGCTATTCCAAGTGCTGACCGATCCCCAAGACATCTTCACATGCTCCTTTCGGGCCATGCTACTATAACTTCTGTTTCAAAGCTACAAAATGAACACATAGTTGAATAGTTACATGAGTTATAAATCACATTAAATAACTATTCTATCAATCCAACGATCATTTACATCCTACATATAATCGATCCACGATGTTCCTATAATGTAGTAAAACATATAGTAAAACCCAATCATAAAACCATCCCAAAAATCACCATATTGATGGGTGCGAAAAAAACCATCCCCGTTTATGGTTTATGGCATGGGCTTTCCCACATTGGCCACGAGTTCAGCTCACCCGGCATCAAAGGTACCCATTGGTCGGGCTCAAACTCTCCCTTCGACTTGTCTTCCTGCGGCGAGTTGATTAACGGTGATCCGAGGCCGGGGATTAGCCGCATGGATGGTGACTTTTGGGAAACCCAATGGATCTCTAGGATTTTCATAAGGTACATTTGATTGTAGAAATTCTGAGATGTCAATTGTAACAAAGGTGTATTACAGCCCACCAAAGGTTTCAAATTGTTTTGGATTCAAGATGATTCAAAGAATCCATAGAAACTTGTGTGAAGATTTATAAACAACTTGCTACCATTCACCAGAAGCAAACTAGCTGGTCAAACTACTAGTCAAAAGTATAAATGTGTTTGGGGATGAATTGCGAGTCTTAAAAGTCTGCACCGGGGTCATTGCAACAAATATCCTTATTAATGCTGGCTGCATGCCAATCAACGTTTGCTATACCTTATATAGTTGTTGACTCAGTATACAACTGCTACAGTACTTGCCAAATCAGCAACTAAAATACAAGTACGAATCGCATTACATATTTGTTGTTGGCTCTCCATCCATGTTTGTTTTACTCAAGGATCCCTTCCCCTTGTTATTGAATACGCCCCAAACATCTCCAAACGAAACCATAGTTAGTATTGGATCTGTTATCCATTTATGATTTCGGGTCTCAAACATTGGGCGTAGTCCATACTATGTTGGCATATAATGGCTATGTACACATTTCACATCCTGGTAAACTACGTTGAAGAACCATGTTACGGAAGATGGTAAAAGCCCTTAGTAAGATGATCTCGGAACGGGATTAACATCCAATCATCACCTAGTCTACATAATCATTGGTGAAAATCCTTTCTTGATGGCTTTGTGTATCCATGAACAAAACAAACATGTATTCGAACACAGTGCCAATCTTAGATACCCTGCAAAAAAAAAAAATGGCTGGTTAGTAGATCATCCCATTAATACCTTCCCTCTAAAGGATAAGTTTCTACCCATCCAGCCGACCAGTCGCACCAGTCGATTCACAACAGTCGCGACTGATTCAGGACTCGTCCTGTGTCTCCACCATAAACTTGGCAGGAAGCACCTGAGATGTTGCGATGGATCCGCAGTTCAGGAGGTGATTTGGAAACGAGTTGTACCAATCCCAATCTGGTTGGTGGTTAAAAAACCATCTTGAAAAATGATGGAGTTCGTCAATGGGAAGGATGACATCCCATATATGAAATGGAAAATAAAAGCCATGTTTGAAACCACCAACCAGCAAGTGGATCGAATTCTTGCAGCGTGGTATGATGTGGACATGGATTTATGTCAACTGACCAGTCACTGACCAATCACCAAGAAAGCAGCGCTGGATTTTTTGGCTCAGGGGTCTCCAGAATAGTGCATTCCGTCGTCAAAAATAGAGGGGCGGGCCTATATCAATCAAGAGCTTCTTAATCCGGGGCCGATTTGAATGAATGGCATCCGGTGTGGTTGGATACAAAAACCCTATGATTTTGTACAAAACTTTGATTGTAATGTGGGAAAGCCAACAACAAACCTACCATTTGGGGATGGTTCATACCATCCATTTATGGTGATTTGGGGGAGGGGTTTACAACATCTCCCATGAAAATAGGTACGAAATCCACCCTGCAGCTAGCATGAACCACACCATGAATCAAAAATCCAAAACTGCAATGGGAAGCTTATCTTCCAATAAGAAACTAAAAGCCTTTTTGGGGTGCGAAAAATGGAACCAAACACCCTGGGCAGAAGCAAAGCGACGGAAGTGTTGTGCAGGTACAAGCTCTGGTGAAAGGGGTACCTGGCAAAGGCAAAGTGGCTTACATCTTCACCGTTCACATGTCTGAGAATCTTGCGAGAAATTAGGTGGAAAACACAAGTTCCTTTGTTTGAAGGACAAATTCGTTGCATACGTGTCTATTATCAGTTGATCATCTTGACCTCAATCAACTGATCACATCGCTGCAAATCTAATCAACTGCGAAAATACATGGTGACCCGAAAACTACTATCAGGACACACAGCAGAAAATGGCTCAGTTTTCCAGTATGTGAACAAATCTAAAAAAAAACTCATACTTCATCCCTGCTATCCTGGTATTTTAACGTAGTAGTTGCGGAAAATCACCATTCTCAACGCGTAAATCAGAAATCATCAAACTACACACAATTTGTAAATGCGCAATTTTCAATAGCCATGTTATCAAAGTTATCAAACAATCATCGAACTAAATGGCCATAGAGAGAAAATTGTGAGTTTTTTTTACCAAAGGGCCTCCGGCAAACTAACATTTCGCTATTGAACATGGCCCATAGAAAAAGTTGATTTGCCTATAGCCTATTAATATTGGTGATTTTTCCATAGATAAACTGTTAGTTTACCAGAGGGATCTATACTCAGAAATGTGGTATAAACAGTATAAACCATTCCCAGTCATGGGTGGTTTACCCTCTGGTAAACTAACAGTTCGCTATGGAAAATGACCATGTTATTAATGGGTAAATCAACTATTTGCCTATGGCCATGGTTTCAATAGCTATTTTGACATAACCAGAGTGTGTATCATATCCCATTGTAAATGATGATATTCCCATCATATGTCCATCATATTCCAATCATATGTCCATCATATTCCCATTATAATCCACCACTATTAAACCACTAGTAACCACCTTTAACCACTATTAAATCACTATTAAATCACCATTAAATCACCATTAAATCACTATTAAATCACTATTAAATCACTATAGTTACCCAGAGGGTCTCACATGATCCATCTCTCCCGACACCACGACACCAACCGTTTACCACGCCTGATGAAGACATCTCCGTAGTTCAGGCAGCCGTGCGGCTCAAAGGAGACCTAGCAGCCGGGAGTTTTTGGGAGATTTGCCATGGATGAAAGGGATAACCATCAAAAAAATGAACTGTGTATGTATAACATGAATATATTTATATAATGTATAATATATATTATATATTGTATATAATATATATATATATAATGTATTATATATAATGTATTATATATATAATGTATAATATATAATAATATATATATTGTATATATAATATATATATAATGTATTATATATAATGTATAATATGATATAATATGTATATATTGTATATATATATATAATATGTATATATAGTTATATATATAGTTATATATAGTTATATATGCTAACGCCTCCGTTAGCGACCCCATAGCACTATTGTCGACGCGTGCTTTGGCCAGGTCAGAATCTCAGAGGGGAAGCTTTGGTTCGACAACGCTTGGTTGCACTTTAGCTGGGCTTGGTGGCTTGTTGTATCTGTTCTTGCTTCTACCCACATGAGTAGATATCTGTTCTTGCTTCTACCCACATGACGTTGGTTTGAAGTTGCATCGGATGTGGCTACGTTGGACATAGGGGGGTGGGGTGGGGTGGGGCATGTTGACGTTGGTTTGAAGTTGCATCGGATGTGCACGCTACGTTGGACATAGGGTTGGGTGGGGTGGGGTGGGGTGGGGCATGTTGACGTTGGTTTGAAGTTGCATCGGATGTGCACGCTACGTTGGACATAGGGTTGGGTGGGGTGGGGTGGGGTGGGGCATGTTGACGTTGGTTTGAAGTTGCATCGGATGTGCACGCTACGTTGGACATAGGGTTGGGTGGGGTGGGGTGGGGCATGTTGACGTTGGTTTGAAGTTGCATCGGATGTGCACGCTACGTTGGACATAGGGTTGGGTGGGGTGGGGTGGGGTGGGGCATGTTGACGTTGGTTTGAAGTTGCATCGGATGTGCACGCTACGTTGGACATAGGGTTGGGTGGGGTGGGGTGGGGTGGGGCATGTTGACGTTGGTTTGAAGTTGCATCGGATGTGCACGCTACGTTGGACATAGGGTTGGGTGGTTGGACACAATTGCTCGATCAGGTGTGGCGCCATCTGAAAAAGTATGTGCCCAAAGAGTTAAGCACTCGTGAAGGATTGGGCACAAGAGATGCTGCACGGCTTGAGCAGTATGTGCGATCCTTTCGGTTTCGCTGGAATCATAAAATGAATCTGGCAGATGCGTTGGCCAAAAGAGCTGCAAAGCATCAAGGATAAGAGTCCGAAAACGTGCCCACGCAGAAAAAACCGAGGTTTGCATCGCAACTACAATGCAAATCGCACATGATGGACATGCCCCCATGCAAAAAATGGGGCAAAATGCACGTGTGCAAATTTCCAATATGAATGAAAACGTGCAAAGCGTGGGACATTGGAGACAAACATGTATGAGTATGGTGATGAAAGGCCCAGGGTCGCTATCAGCGGCGCTACCTTATATATAGTTGCAAGTGTGTCTATAGAAAAGTAAATAAAAACGTAAAATAATCATTAATTAGTAGGGATAATATATCCCTACTAGTTGATGATGATTTTACGTGTTTATTTATTTATTCTAAATGCTATGTTTCTATCTGCTGATGACTATATATAATTCCAATTCTAGTGGTGATTCACTGTTCTATGATGTTCGAAATGTATTAAGGAGTACTATGACAATGATTTACTATGGTCCAAATGCGTGGGCTTTTTCTGTAAAATGTACTGGTTGGTGGAGTATGGGTTGCATTTAAAAATAGATAACACTACGATAAAATAGTGGTAAATTACACTTCTGTATGTTTTGGGGGTACTATATGTACTATAGGCCATTGGGTCAAAAATCCGCAAAATATTCAGTTTACCCTCTGGTAAACTAACATAACTATGGAAAATCACAATTTTTAATGGGAAAACTCACTATTTCTATGGCAATTTTCAATAGCAAACTGTTAGTTTACCAGAGGGTACCTCCCAATATCTTGAACTGGGCTGAAGTTTCATCGAGAAAAATTGGAGTGCCTTTAGCAGTCTTATCTTACCATGGAATAATGATATATTTGAGCAAACGTCCAGACATAGAGACATTCAAACATGGAGAAGTTCACCAACCTCATCCCAGCATCTGCAGTAGTGGAGACCTGGGATCCCAACCGTTGGCACGGCACACTGTGCAAACATCGGGATGGACAACAATTCCTGGCGGCTGAAAGGGGTCCGATGATGGGGAAAGGGGCTAGCCGGGCTAGCACAGCCACATCAATGGCTGCGATTCACCAGTGTTTTCAGGGCAACAATCCGACTTCAAGACTTCCGCGGAAATCCCATTGAAAAACCTCCAACTTTTGAAGGGAATTATCCTCCCCTGGTGCCATTATTCTCATTTTTTGAGCACCAGATGTGTTGCACCCAGCCTTGGTCCCAGTTGAAAACCGTCACCAAAAATCTCAGTTATCCCCATGGCAGGATGGTCTGGGTGAAATCTGGCGCCATAAAAGGGGATGATTTCCCTATAAAAACCCATGGATTGAACCAGGCGAACCGGGAGAACAGGGTTCGGTCATTATAGTTTACCCAGAATGGTGAAACTATATGAAAGCCTAAGTTTTGATGGAAGCATTTACCCATTGCTAACCATGTGTAGCCATGCTTGAAACATGGTAAGCCCAAGAGCCCGATATCTTTGGAACCAGAAAATCCCATGGTAACGGCTTTGTTGGTCAAAATTCCCCGGTTTGGTCAAGCTCAAACCACATTTGGCTGAGATCCCAGGCGATATGTTGCTTTAATAGATATGGAAAATCAAGCATTTTTTTGAATTAACATAGATATGGAAAATGTAATAGATCAATGAAAATGTGGTTGTTTCCATATCAACTATATTTTGGTTCAATTTCTTAGCCTCCAGTAAACTAACATAGATATGGAAAATCTACCATGGATGAGTGCATTGCCATTTTCCAGAGCTATGTTCGCTTACTGCAGGGTAACCCAAGTTTTTACCAAGTTGGTTTATAAACCCATCGAATTATAGTTATGAGCTTATAAAATACGTGATAACTTTGATATTTTTGTAGTTCAGTTATACTTATTGGGACAAATCTTCCATTAGTGTTGATTAAATCCCAATCAATCCCACTAACTCACGATGTTTATCCCAGGCTTAAAAATCTAAGTCCCATTATAAAGCCCATTGGTATCCCATTAAATCCATCTAGATCTCAATTGTATAATATTATCTAAGTCCGATGACACGCACATTTCTTCAATGGGAATAATCAACAATACTGGGATATGTAACCAATACTGGTTTGCCAAAATCCATTTACACTTGTATTTCACGGGATTTCACTATGCCATCAAAATTGGGGGAAAAAAGACAGAAACAAGAAATATGGGTATGGGTCAGTACCTATAGATACCATTTTTAGTGGGATGAACATCCATAAATCCCAGCTATGACTTGGGGTTCACGGCACGGTACCAGGGTGCCATGACCCATCCCCATATGAACTTGAAAAACAGTGGCGAATAAAAAGAGATCAACCCAAAACATCCCAAAAAGTGAAAAACAGTTCCCAAAACAAGATATAGATACAGAGTAATAAGATACAAGATGATACAAGATGATACAAGATGATACAGACTAATAAGCATATATTATATAGGCTATATTTGGATAAACCTATAGTGTTTCTTTGGTTACTTTGTAAAAAAAATGCTGCTTCAGCCAGGTTCATCCCAATAGCGATCTTCCACCCCCTGGCACAAGCGCGCCTTCCCCACACCTTCCAGATCCACGGAGAGCCTGGTGTACCATATGTTATGTATGGTATATATAATATACTATTACAATGTGAAATATACTGGTGCTGTATATATATATATACATATATATGGGGTACGTGTGGTATTATTCATCTATTTATTTATTTCATTTATTTAACTTATTTTAATTACTTTATATAGAAATATTACTATTGTAGTAGTACTATTGTTCGACTATTGTTCGTATGATTCGTGTGATTAATAATTGATGAGTGATAAGTATTTTTCGAAGTATACTACATTTATTCCTTATTTGTATTGGCATAAAGTCGAGCGATGCGGTTTGTATGCTGATTGATTGGTTAAGAACGGATTTCCTTCATCGATTCTCAGGACCAACTACAGTATAGATTGGAATTTATATACCTGTATATTGGATAGTATATATAATCCAATAGAATAGTAACATAGTAGTACTACAATAATAATAACTATCTTGTATTGTTATATTAACATTATATAACATTTATATAACCCCATAGAATCATAATCTCTCACAATATCATCATCCATCAACAGGGCGCCACTGCTGTAATCTGCTGTAGAAAAATGCCACTGCACCGGGCTTTTTTTGGCTTTTTTTGGGACCCTGCCTGGTGTCATATTTCTTCTCCGTGTTGCTGATAAAATCCACCTGGCGTCAGAAAAGCTGCTGGATGATCCAGTCGGGACTTCTCCGAGCCGGTGCAGCGGAAAATCGCAGCAGCTGTGTTGAAACAGGTCAAAGTGACCTCGTAGCCTCCGGTAAACTAACAGTTTGCTATTGAACATGGCCATAGAAATAGTGAGTTTTCCCATAAAAAATGGTGATTTTCCATGGTTATGTTAGTTTACCAGAGGGTATGGATTGCCATCTCAAATTTCTTTCATCTTATACGCAAAGCCAATGGTTTCTGAACCCAATACGCAGCAATGGTGGGTTGATTGGGATATTCAGATGATTTGACCATTCGACTCGATATGGAATGAATCACGCCAGTTTTCCCCTTGAAAACGCTTATTGTAAAAACTATCAACAACTTTCATTTTGGTGACGTGCTCACAGTAGAGACTCCTAGGAATGGGTAAGCCATTCCTAAGATCAATGCTATTTTCATTGAGGCTTGCTTGGTTTCTGGATAAAATATGGTAAATTCTTCGATCTAGTACTTCTCCGCCAGCAACCTTGGGACCCAAGCCTTCTTCCCACCCATCCAACCGGCTGCAGCCTGAATTCTCTGAGCGCAGTTGGGCAGTAGGGTGCCACGCGACGGGATAATTTCGAATTCGTTGTTGGGAGGCGCCTGACTGAAAAACGCGACCCAAAACGACCCCTGGGCACCTGATGGGATGGGAAAGTCTGGGGAAGAGCCCAGTTCATGTTTTGAGTGTATTTATGATGCTTGGATTTGTCGAACAACTCCAGCGCCCTACCAAAAAGAATCAGCACCCTACCATACCCTCTGGAAAATTGAACACTTCGCTGAAAATCACCGTTTTTGATAGGTAAATCGTCTATAAATGGGCCATGTTCCATAGTTATGTTCAAATACTAGAGAGTATATATCCTCCTTAAATCCCATGAAAAATCACCATCGTTGGCTAAATCCCACATAAATGAGCTATATCCCGGACATCTCAGAGAGCCCAGGGCCGATGATCAACATGGCATGGTACAAGGTGAGGCCCCCCCTTGTAAACCATAGCGAAGTTGATGCAATTTAACTCCAATAACAAGGCTTGATGAAATGGGATATGATATAACTATATATAATTATAGTTACCCTCTGGTAAACTAACATAACTATGGAAAATCACCATTTTCATCCATTTTCAATGGGTAAATCCACTATACATGGTCATTTTCAATAGCTATGTTAGTTTACCAGGCCGGGTAATAAGTTTATAAACCACCAACTTGAAGTGGTGAATGGCCCCCAACTTGCGAGCGACGATCACTTGAAAAATTGCCCGGGCTCGGCCTCATCACCCTTCACAGTGAGTGTGTAGTAGCAAGGCACCTGATTGTCATCACCCAGTTAGTGGCTAAATTCGATCAAATTACTGGTATTGGATGAGAGAATTCTCCAGAAATTCCCATCAATTTGCCCGGTGTCATCAAACGTGGCTAGCTTGAACATCCCCGAACTAGCCATGGAGGGTTGAATGGAAAATCATCTATAAATCTATAAATCCATAAATCTGAAGGTTTTATAGGAAAATCATCTCTAATTTGGAGGTCTTCATCTATCAATGGAGGTTTGAATGGAAGAATTTCCAGCTGACTATAAATGGAAAATCACCATGCTATAAATGGGAAAATCAACTATTTCTATGGCCATGTTCAAGTTCGCAAACTCTTAAATTACCAGAGGCTATGTCCCAAAAAAATACCCCCATTTGGGTTGGTGAAATCCCTATAAGAATCACCATGGAAAATCACGATTAAATCAGCATTCCTGTTGGTTAACCCCCATAATAATCCCCCATTACCAGAGGGTAATCCAACCACCAAATCGCCCCAAAATTTACGGTGAATTCCCGATAAAAATCACCATTAAAACACCATTAAATCACCATTAAATCACTATTAAGTCATTACTAATACCATAATAGGGAATTTGGATGAATTTGGTTATTATTAATCACTATTAAATCACTATGAACAACTAATAATTCCCTGGTATGATGGTTGGTGAATCACTATGAATAACTATGGAAAATCATGGAAAACTGGGACAATTTCCAGCTGAGTCCAGCAAGTTGACCCGTCCCACCTCGGAGGTGTTCGTGAGCGTCAGCATCCTGCGAAGCGAAGGCGCGGGGAACTACGGCGGAGCCCAAGATCCATGATGGAGAACGGTTTTTTGGGTGGAAAGTTCATATACCCTCTGGGAACTATATATAATTATGGTGGGATGATCACAACTCATACCCTGTGCTAATTTCACAGTTTGCTATATGGAAAACAACATTTTGGATCTATTTTTCATAGCTACATAGATAAAACATATGAATATTACCCTCTGGTAAACGTTTACATAGCTATGGAAAATCACTATGCTATTAATGGGTAAATCCACTATTTCTATGGCCATGTTCAATAGCTACGTTAGTTTACCAGAGGGTAGTATTTGAGATGTGTGTTTTATACACAATAATATGATATAATATGATATAACATGATTATAATATGCATATAATTTATGGTACTTTGAGGATTTCAGAATATGTCAGAAACCACCAATCTCTCTTTCTTTGGTTTGGCAAATGCTCTGCGAAGTGCTTGTGATTTCCGCAAACCTGGCTTCCGAATGCGATTCATCCCCTACAGGAATCGGCGCACGAACCAACTCCGCATGAGCCTGATGAGATTCATATAGTTTCATCATGCTTCATATCTTTCCCAAAAAAACAATGGCCAAACAATAGCCAAACAAACTTCCATGATCTTTCACAATTCCGAAAAAACAGTTTTCTAGGTGTTCTCACACCTTTGGGATGGATTTTCCCATGATTTTCCCCTCTCGGTGTGAGTTCAACTGAGTCTCTCCAACCCCGCCATGGCGGAGTCCTTGAGTTTAGGAATCCGAAGCTCACGGTTCCAAAGTTGATCTTATCCACATCAAATTCAAACCTTTCGCAGCAAAAAAAAGTGGGAAAGGCATGGGGAAACCAGGATACCTTGAGGTTTGGATCGGAATAGATACCTTGCAGATGTAGGTATTGGAATGTATTATAGATGTGAATATGAGATATGATATATTGAAAAGTTGATACAAGATATTGATGATATTGGATATTACATAATAGTACGGTCGTAGGTACAACATATTAGATACAGATTAAAACCATAGATATAGCCATAACATGCTATCACCATTGCTATGCCATCATGTTTGCCCAGCCCCACTCTAACGAACTCCGTTTCTGAGGTGTGCTGGCACATGTTTTATCCCACTTATATAATCGTATCCCGTTTTTCATGGTGATTTTATCTCCATGTTTCCCATCTTTATTTTATCCCATTTTATCCCTATGAATATCCCCTTTATATATTTATCATTATTCATCCCTATGACATTCCCACTTGTTCATGGTGTTTCACCTATCCCCAACGGCCCGTCAGGAATCTTCCACCGAAGCAACTTGGGTCGTACCGATGTTCCGCGGAAGGCCAGCGTCACCGCCTTGGTCTTTGTCAAATTCGACGGAGGATGCAGAAACTGGCGGGACGTATCCAAAGGGAAAAATGCAATAACTAAGGTTTATAGTACTCAAAAAAGGGTAACTATAGTTTATAGTAATCAAACTATAGTTTATAAAAGGGTAATTATATCTAGAATACTATAATGAACTCCGATCAGTAGTTGGGTTTTTGATGGGTTTCTGCGAATTCTAAGGGCATTGTATGACATTTTACAAGCATCATATGGGCCCTGGGCTAAACCTAAACCAACAAACATAACAGGGCCCACCGCAGGTACCAGCAGGTACCATCCGATGCCTGGAGACCTCAATAATTCCCATAGTCGTCAAAAAGCGCTACTGTACATATAGCGCTACTGTACATAGGGTTGACATTATAGATGATGAATTCCCAGCCAGAAAAACCGACCAAAAATTCCATGAAGAATTTCGCCAGCTGCATAGCCTCAGATCCAAACTGTTGCGCTGCCCTGCAGGGCCCATTCAAAAACCTGCGCCGAATTTTTCCGATCTCTGGAGGATGATTCACCGACTTAGTACCAGCACAATGTTAAAAAAAATGTTGCCCTTTGGTAAACGAACTCACATAACGAACTGGAAAATCACCTAACTATGGAAAATCACCATGCTATTAATGGGAAAACTCACTATTTCAACTGGGCCATGTTCAATAGCAAACTGTTAGTTTACCAGAGGCTAATCCTGTATGGTGAGGCCGAGTGTTCGGTCGCATTCATTCAGTGTTCGCTGGCGCCTGTCTCCAAAGAACTGATCATTGTTTCATCCCACCATCCAACCATCCATCAGAGTTTTCGCGTCTGATGTGTGAATTTCAGCGAGGATGAAATGTCATGAACAAAGCGACGCATGCTTCCTGAAATCATCGCAAAAAAATATACCAAAAAGCGAAAGAAACGCATTATAAAACCACCAGAAAGCGTTTCATCTGTGGCCCATTGGGGTATGATTCCCCTCCATCCGATCTCCATCGTTGGTCTCAGCTTTTGTCCGCGCCTCATGAAATGGTCCAAGCTCCTTTGGCTTGAAATCCACAACGATCTCGCATTGACCACCGACCTTCAGACGGAGATAGAACAAACCATGGCAGTCTTGATGGCAACGCGCAGCCTACCAGCTATACCCGGTGGAAACAAAAAAAGCAGCGAATGCGAACTGGAATTACTGGAAGCCATGACCATAGAAATAGTTGATTTACCCGAAAAAAATATCTGAAAATGGTAATTTTACATAGCGAACTAACTAAGTTGACCAGGAAGTAGAGAAGAACGGGACACTTGGAAATGAATATCGGAAACATAAACATCGAACTACCATGCTGGAAATTGTCGGGCTTTGGGCATCCTTTTTGGGAAATCCCGAAAAGGGATTGAAAAGCGAAGAAAAACCTCTTGCAGCTGGCTCCTCTTAAAGGTATGGCTCACCATGATGAGCGACCCCAAAATTGGTGCTGGATAAGCCCAACCTCAACGGTGTGAGGATGGTCCAAATGTATTGCTTCACTGAGAAACCTTCCTTGGCATATGCCCATGTCTTGTTTAACGTAGCAAAGTGGAAAATCACCATTTAGACCCATTTCCTTCGGTAAATCATCATGTTTATCATCGAACTTTGCCTGGGCCATCTCCCATAGCTGCAAAAAAAAATCTATGGGTGGGCCATACCATAACAACTAGCCTCTGGTAAACGTTTACATTGTTTACATACCTATGGAAAATCACCATGCTATGAAAAAACGATGGAAAGATCCACCATGCTACTAATGGGAAAACTCACCATTTCTATGGCCATTTTCAATAGCAAACTGTTAGTTTACCAGAGGCGAATCCACCCGGCAGCCATGACATGCCATGACTCCTGTCGAGTCAAAAACCTCCAACTTAACTCACGGCCGAGGTTCCGCAATGGTGCCGTGATCCGGGGTGAACTTGAACCTGGCTCCAGGACATCCCGAAGAACATCGAAAATGGGGTTAAAACCATGTCATAAACTTACCATGACTGGGAATGGTAAGTTTATACCACCTATAAAAATGGTGATGACTGGGGATATGGTTTAATTAGTGGGGATGGTTTGTATAATTCGTGTTTTACCAGCATTCATATTATCTGAAGTTCATATATAAGTGTCCCATCTTTGAATCTGTTTTCCCGAAGATTATATAAAAAGTGACCATCATGAAATCCATCCTTTGTGGTTTCGCAAAAAGTTCCTACCCCCAATTTTTATCAAAAAAGATGAGTTCACAATGGCAGAATGGGTCGGGCTGATGCACATCAGAATACTTCAATTTTATTGTTGTGGCTGATCTTCAGAAAATGATCTGGTTGGTGGTTGAGTTTCAACCCCTCTGAAAAATATGAGTTCGTCAGTTGGGATGATATGGACTGGTTGGTGGTTTTAACCATCTTGAAAAATATGAGTTCGTGAATGGGAAGGATTATCCCATATATGGTTAGTGGTATACCTACTGTACCCCTCTGAAGAATGATGGAGTTCGTCAGTTGGGATGATGAAATTCCCAATTATGGAAAAAAAACCAAATGTTCCAAACCACCAACCAGTTGGGGTATCTTTTTAAATCCCATTAAACCCCTATTTTTCATGGTTAAAATGATTCCAAACCACCAACCAGATTTCTGATTTTCGGACAAAGCCACGTGGGCCACGTGGGCCACGGTGCCCATGGCCTACTCATCTCTACTCACTCCAATGACTCGACCAGCCGTTTGTGAATTCCCGTGGCTGGGAAGAATTCCCATGGTGAATTCCCGCAATTCCCATAGCTTTACCATAGGAAAATGGAGGTTTTAATAGGAAAACCATAGGAAAACCGTAGGAAAACCATAGGAAAACCATAGGAAAATGGAGGTTTACCATCTGGTTATGACTAACAGTTTGCCATGGAAAGATCCACCCATTTTTAAGAACGGTAAACCATCTATTTCTATGGGCCATCTATACCATGGCGAACTGTTAAATAACCAGAGGGCACATCGAATTCCCAAAAAAATATCCATGCAATCCCATGGTCAATGCGAAGCGCTAGAGTCTCCTTGAAGAAACTATACTATATCCATCACATCCCCATGAAAATCCCCATTGTCTGTCCCTTTATTAGTTCAATCCTCGATTTTACATGTATATAGTCATAATAATATATATATATATACACATACATACATTACATTACATTACTTTACATTACAGTACACTACACTACACTACATTGCATTACATATCCATCACCCCCCCCCCGATATGGGTTGGTCTGAAAATAGGATATCCTTCCAATAAATTATCATAACCGTCCTTGAAAATTGCTATTTCTGGGTATCCCCTATTTGGGGATCACTGATAGATGTAACCATGGTGATAACCTCCATATGTTGGGATATGGGGCCCTTAGTATCATGGCTATATCACCACTTAGTTCACTGGAACTGCACCCCCAAGCATGGAAAATGCATCCATCAACTTTCATTGATATCCATTAACATATCCATTTATATCCATTACTGTCCACTAGTCAATAGATCAAAACAACTGGAATGAACTAGGGAATGCCTATCCTTATCTTTAGACATGTCCTTCATATAGCTGATAGAATTGCACCCCCTATCCACTGGTCAATAGATCAATAAAAAATAAAACTAGGCAATTTCCAAAAGGGTTCATGTCCATGATACGGTATACTATCCACTAGGATCCACTGGAGATATGCAGCCCTAACAAACATTAGGGCATATTATCTGGCCATGACTCAGGAACTTAAATTGGAGATACCTACCAGTACCATATATAAGGCCTATATAAGGCCTAAATTTCAGGGAATATCCCCACAATGTCTATGGCCTGAAAAATTGCACAGTACCTCCATTTTAGGATCCTGAAATTCCCATTGAAACTATGGAAAAACTGCTCACTTGTAAATCCTTTCTCGAAGCACCGAGCCAGAACTCATACCCTTTGGTAATGACTAACAGTTTGCGAGCTGGAAAATGGCAAATTTATAATCTAGATATATCTAGATGATTTACCCAGATATTATGGTTATTTTTCACCAGCGGCCAACCAACCAACCAACCGGCCTGGGTGCAAACTTTCCTTCCCGATGGACCAAGCGGAAGTCCACTTCGATGTCTCCTTGGTTCAGCAGCTGCACCTACGCGTGGCTGAGAACAAGGAGGTGTTCGTTGAGGATGTAACCAACAGAAGGGGGGTAGAATGGGATATAATTCTTGGATACTGAGCTATTGGATATATATATATATCATATGTGTATATAATTACTCTATATATATATATTTAAATCATATATATATAATATGTAATATGTATGTATATATTGGGTATATATAATTATATATATATATATATCATATGTGTATATAACTACTCTATATATATATATGTATATATATATTTATATATTATACACTTATATCAGACAAGAGAGTACGAGGAACAGTCTGAAAACAGCATCATCGGGGTTTCTGCTGGTTCCACAGCCTCCCCCAGTGAAAGGTGACAACTTCACCAATCGTAAGGATTCCCATTGACATTAAGGGGTTTATTAACCAGCAACAACATCCAACAACCGCACTTATAAAAAATTATCATTATATGTTCAACATGTATCCCTAGTATTTTGGATTTTAGCCCCCAATTCCAGTTTGGGTTACGAGTTGACGAGGCTCAAGGAAACCCAACTAACCGTTGGTTTAGAAGTTCGATGGGTGAATTCTCAAGCCATGTTGGCCAGTTTGACTAAGAGAGGTGAAGATCAACAAATGCATCGTTTTGTCGCGTGTCGACAGTGTTGGAAGATTGTGGATGACCCTGAAATGTTCTCTGGACGCAAACTTCAGAAACTGGGGCGTGACTCTTTGGGACTGGACGAGGTTCAACAGACCAACGACCAATGCGACAAAAACGGAATGCCTCTGCACCCAATTGAACATTCTGAACATTCTCAAGTCCAGTGATCTATACAAAGTGGGGCCCATGCAGATTCCATCGCATGAGATGTCGCACAAAGCTGAGACGTGCAGCTCATCTAGGTCTTTAGATTGCCCAGCTTGAGCTGTCCCATCGCATCGTGCAGCTCGTGGTGGAAAAGAGATGAAAATCTGACCTCCGATCTCTACCGGGTCTGTACAGGTTATTGAGATCGTTACTTGCTGAAAACTTTAACGGTCCCACGCATAACAGCGGTATGTTGCATGCATGTGCTAGAATACCCAAAATCAGGGTGTGCTGTCCCTTCAAACAAGTTCAATGCCCCAACACAACTGCGTGCAGCGGCAATTGGGTAGATCCAACAGCAAACCATACTGGTATCCCCAAAATTGTTTTTGTTCATTCTTGGGTATAGTGCATACCCTTATTTTGGAAGGTTTATAACAACCCCCAAGTGCCTAGTTGTTGATATAGTACTTATTGGGCCTGGTTTGTTCGTGGGCTACCCACATTAATATGCATGTGACTGGAGTTAGAAGAGGAGACTTCCCTGAATTTTCAGATCTGCCTCATATCGATGCGCGCTTTCCACGAAGACATTCCCGACCTCGACTCAATGTGTGGTTTCACAGCAGAACGATGCAGAACAACAATGAAATGGGGAAGGTAGAATTTGCTCAAAAAAAGGGGGCAGGGTCTGCCGTGGATATTGAGACAATGATCCATGCCCTGTTTAATCTTGTGGTGGCCAAATTTGGCGTAACTCAATGTGCAGCAACATGCACTTTGATTTGTTCAAATTGCGCTCCTAGGATCGGGTTGAAAACCTGACGTTTGGCGTGAATCCTATTGCTATCCATATCGCATGTTTTGACCCTGTGTTCATCCAAGTTCAGCCTTGCTCATCCATGCTTGAGTTTATCTTCATCGCGGTGCCATCAACTTCCCGCAACGCAACATACACAACTACCCCCACCGCCCCGGGGCCCCGGACATCCAGTTCGTCATAGGAAAAGGTGGCTTTGGGTCCAATGCCCAGACCCTTCAAGACCAAGGGTGCCCGATCCTCTTGGCCAACCGCCGACAGGTAGGCTGTAGCACAATAGACCAAAGCGTCCTGCAACAGCAACGCCATAGAGGCGCCCGTAGAATTCTATTGCCGCTGCCCCTATGGTAAGACCAAGAAAAGTGGGTTCTCTTGACAATTCTGTGGCTTGCCATAGGGGGATTTGGCAAGCCCTCCAATGCGATTGGCGCTGGCCACGCTGAATGTTGTGGGCAATTGGTTTCTAACCCTCAAGTTTCTGGCCTATCAGGCCCTGCAATTTAGTGCAAAGCAAGTTTCAAAGGGTGAGTCTTGTACCCCGGCTACAACGATAAATCATCCCTACGTGCATCAAGGCAACTGAGTCTTCGAAGAAGTTGCAAGTTGATGCCCCGTCTGTAAACATGGGCATGGAGCCTCATTGCTGACAACCACCAATTTTCCTGAGTCTTGCTGTATATATCAAGATAAGCCGCAGTCTTTTTGGTTTTCCCCTGAATGTAGTCACTGAAATACCCGGAGAACTGCGCACTAGTTTTTGGGTAGCCGTACGTGGGATTCACCTGCCTTCTTTGAGGCAATCTTTTTTAGGAGGATAGAAGTGGGTTTTCACATCTGAGTTGGACATAGAATCTCACGGATTTCCACTCAATTGGTTAATTGGTTTTGGGTCAAAATTTACTGTACTCCAACTTGCAGACGTATCATAATTAAAACGTTTGACCGAAGCTCGAAGTACCTCGAAGCACCCTTTTCACCATCTTCGATAGTTTCTGCAACTCAATGGGTTGGTTTAACAAATAGGGATTTTCCATTGCCATGGTGGAGTGACGGAGGGTGAATCTGACCACGTGGCTGTGCCCCCTTGTAATACATGACATTGTGAATTACTCGTCTGAGTATGCTTGTAACTAATACCCATACACTGTGAAGGCACCACCTTGCATCGCCCAAACGCATCAACTTTCCATGGTCTCATGACAAGGCGGTGGCGGAAGTTTCAAAGATAGGAAACCTATAGGAGAGGTTTGGTTGTTGTGAGGCATGGATGGCAGAGCGAATCCACTGATGGACCGAAAGGTGGTTAGAGTGTCGGGCTATCTATCTGTCTGTCTATCTGTCTATCTACATGTTTATCTATTTTTCTGTCTATGCATCTGTCTATCTATCTATCTGTCTGTCTGTCTGTCTATCTGTCTGTCTGGCTGTCTGTCTATCTATCTGTCTACCTGTCTATCTGTCTATCTATCTGTCTATCATTGAAATGTTTTTTCGACACCGGAACCACCAAAAGTGGTCCGAGCATGTGGTGTTTTTAGCATTTTCACTTCAAAATGCGCCTCGCACCACAGCCACGTCTACTTTTTCAACATCGGAACCTCCAAAAGTGGTCCGAGCATGTGGTGTCTTTAGCATTTTTATTTCCAAATGTGCTTCGCGCCACATCGGCATGCACTTTTCCGACATCGCAACCTCCAAAAGTGGTCCGAACGTGGTGTGTCTCTAGCGTTTTCACTTCGACATGTGCTTCGCGCCACAACGGCGTGCACGTTTTTGACATCTCCACGTCCAAAAGTGCTCCGACACTGAGGTGCTTTTAGCATTTTGACTCCCAAACATGCTTCACGCCACAGGTGTGCAATTTTTCATCTGTCATCTGCCCAAATGGCTCCGCACCCGCCGCTTTTGCGAGCCTACTTTTCGCATTGGAAAAACACAGTGTTTGGCGACTTCTCTACCTTTTCGCGCGGCTCGATCTTCTACTGCTTTTCTCTTCTCTGACTCTTCCCACCTTTGCTTTTCCATCTGTGCATATTGTCAGAAGTTTGACTTCTAAACTTCCGTCGATAATGTACATATATTATATGTCCATTTGTTTGCACTTCTACATCAGCCCAGCATGGCATTGGCTCAACCCTGAACCGAATCCAAGTATTTCCCAGACTTGTTGGGTTTCTATCTCTGTTGCCGAGCCCGAAACTGGAATCCTGAAACACTGCTGTTGGGTTGTAAAGCTGGGTGAATGTAGTCCTACTGGGCATGCCATACCCCCAAAACAACTGCCATTTTGGGAAAACGACGTCAAGCAGTGGATTGAGGGGTGGTGCTTTCTTCTTTGGACAAACCCAATGTTTTACTTCGGAGCTGCCGGCTGGCTGGATAGCGCGATCAACTACAACCGCAAACCTGGGTCATCCTGGGTCACTTGGAGCTCCCACAGATATCCACAGATAAAGTACTGGTCCAGTGGTTTCCCTAAAGCGAGTTAGCTAAGTCCCCCATTCAGGTTATCCCACTTTCGATTCGCAGGATCCTCCAAATCTGGGGCAAAAATTCTGCTGCATCAAACTTGTCCAGTTCTTCTAACCGTCACATTATAAGTGTTATGGTTGAACTATGGTTGAACTATCTGGTGCTCAAAACAATCGGAGAAACCATTGATACCAATCTTTGCGCGTTGGGATGTGGCTAGATCTTTCCTGCGTATCGATGAATACTACATATCTTTGTATAGTTTATACATGTGAAAATATCACATAGACATCTCGTGACACCTAAAACCACATCTTGGGTTCATGAGCTAGTCCATAAGTGTGTATGATGTAAACGTCATATAAAGAATCTTACCATGTGTATGTCTAATATCAGCTGATTCTCGCGTTGATTGTATGATTATATAAAACCACAAAACACCAATTATAACTATATTCTTATTAATATAAACCATGATTTGGCTTCTAATTCTATATTATGAAGCCATAACTCATACTAATGTGGTAAAATTCATAATAAGTAAACCTACCATTTGGGGATGGTTTATACCACCCACTATGGTGATTACCATTAAAAAAACACCAGTTGGATATAATAAATCACAATAAACCACTACTATACTGTGGATGGTTGCGAAATCCTGCATCACCAAACGGATGGTTGAAACCCTATAAATAATGGGATAAACATGGATAAACCACCTATCAACTGGTGATAACCGGATTTCGCTGGCCCATCCACCGTATGTCGCTGGGTCCTTGGGAAGGAAACAGCAGGCACATGTCACCTGCGTCTGAGGCCTGGCTTTCGAGAGTTTGGATAGGGCGGCCTTGGGGGGAGATCACGATAGTTCATATAGGCTTTAGATGACCCTCTGGTAAACAAAGAGTTCGCGAACTGGAAAATCACCATCTTTACTATACATGTGCCATTTTCAATAGCTATATTAAATTACCAGAGGGTATATCATATCCCATTTTAAATGATGATATTCCCATCATATTTCCATCATATTCCCATTATATCTGAGGGTACTTGGTGGTTCATCCCACGAATCGTAAGTAGGTGTAAAAAAAAAACTTGGTTTTGTTAGTGGGACAAGTAGGGTGATCAGCCACTTACAACTGGGGTGAGCTCACCTACTTACGATAGGTGGGATGAGCCACCAAGTAGGCTTTAGATTATCCAACTTAGTGTTTAGTATTCTTCAATTCGATTTTAGCCTATGTTTATGTTCGATTTTAGGAACTAATGAGCTGACGCAATGGGAAACAATGGGGGTTTTCAATGCCCACTAATTATAGGGAATTATAGGGATTATCACTACTTTTAGATGATTTTGGTCCCATCTGTTTCAAAAACAAACTGAGATTTCCGGCGGGGGATGATATCGATCAAAATGCTGAGATTTCCGAGAAAATTGGGAAATATCGAGTTTCTTTTTTTATGTGGTGGGATTGGTGGTTGATTCTTGGGATGTGTTTCTTTGAGATTTCGGGGAAATTCATCACAATGGACTTCCCAAGACTCCCCAACAGATTGGAATTGTCGGAAAAAAGTGGGAAAATCATCAGCCAAAAGTGAGAAATCCTTTTATAAATGGAAATCTTTCTTCGGAGAATCTGCATGAAATAAACTTCAAAGCAACCCAGAAATGGACAATCGGCCAACCCAGAAACTCCCCAAGGCTTGGGGTATCAAACTTCCCCCAAAGAAATTGGGCGGTGGGATTTCAGCATTGCCATATCGGTGGTTTCTTCATGTCAACCATGAATTTTAAGCCTCCCAAGTAGTGACAATCTGACACAAAAATGCTAGCCTCCAAATTGGAAAGGTCAGGGGTTGACATTAATTCGGGGTTGACATGACGTTTTGTTGGCTACCTTGGTTTGAAATATACATCTAGGCTGACTAATGGCTTCATGATGGATATACTGTACATATGTGATTCTATATGTACTCAAACATGTCTGGCTAGGAGTAAAAAAACACTCTGGGTAGAAAATATGATTGGAGTTGAACCAAGTTGTTGTGCGGTGCTCTCCCGCTCTTGCGCATATGTTCTTTTGTCAAAAGGTCCATCTCCAAACAAATAACCATGGATCTTCAACATTCAAAGACACCAAGAAAACATCAAACCACCCTATATATATACATATATATATATGAAACATAAATACCACCAATCAACACCAATATATCAAGTATATATGTTCATCAATATATTTACCCAAAGTAAACTTATAACAAATATATATATATACATATACATATATATATATCATCACATACCAATCCCAATGCGGCGCACCATAAGCGGCCGCAGAGGGGCTCAATCTTGAAGATCGCGTCTCGGAAGAGCATGGGATCCTGAAGGCGAATCTCAAAAGATTGAATGATGTGAGTCAGTTCCATCTTGAATCATGTGATCTTTATATGTGTATTATGTAACATACAATATAATATAATAAAGTAATAATAATGATAATATATAATATAATATAATGATATAATATGATATAATATAATCTATATTGTTATATACATATATATAATATAATCTATGTTGTTATATACATATCTATATATATATATACTCAAACACACAAAAAATGTACATGTTGCATGGCTACTGTACGGACATCTCCCTGCCTCCTCCACGGCCTTCACGATGGAGTCCTGAAAATCGCACTGGGAATCTCTGAAAAAAAACCTGGGAAAATGCCATCGAACCATGGATAAACCATGGGAAAACGTAGGAAAATATGGGAAAACCATGGGAAAACCATGGAAAAACCTGCGAAAATGTGGGAAAACCATCGAAAAACCTGAAAAACTATGGGAAAACCATGGGAAAACCATGGAAAAACCATGGAAAAACCATGGAAAAACCATGGATCTCTTTTGATGAAAATAAATAACGAGCCTCGGTCGTTGTTAGCTACATGGCTTACTGGAAACTCCTACCAAAGTTCGAGGATTTTTCAGGCTATTTATAGACCCAACCGTGTTAGAGAGCTTACAGCCTAAGGCAAATTTGACCAAATCGTCGCCTTGCATGGTTTCCCCGCAGCATATTAATGTTGTAATTCAACAGTTTACAAAATTGCACTTTGAAGAAAAGAGATCCGAAGCAGTTTACCCTCTGCTAATCAAAAATAGGCATGGAAAATGGTGATTTAACATGAAATAACTGTTGAACACATGCATTTTCCGCTTAAACAGCTTCGTTTCGAAGTTAACTATGCCTGCCTTCAACTCCCAAATCTGTAGTAAATGTTCACGTATCCCAATATCTCCCATAAAATATCATTTTTTATATCCTCCGTTTTCTTGACGCTTAAAATCAATAATCCCATATTTTCAGGGTTGCTCCCAACACCCCATATGCAAGGGCCAGTTTCCGCCCCTTTATGGCTATTCTTTACCCATCATGGGCCTCCAGCCTGGTTAATATCGGTTATACTTATATCCAATTATCTGATATCCCACTATTAGCTTTAATAATATTTAATATATACCATTATTTTATTGATTGTATGGTATCCCACTATTAGGCTATATATGGCAGTGTGTCAAAACCTTGTACCCCTGGTGAACATCAAAATAGCTGGTAAATGGATGTTCATTCCCCTAAAAATGGTATTAATAGGTATTGATCCATAGCCATATAATTAAGTTATTAATATACAATTACTTTAATATCATTGGAGCAATCCCATAATTTCAATCCCATTTCTTCACCATCAAAAATTAGTTCAGAACTCGCAGCGTAAGACGAGCATCGTATTTGCGCCCCAGCAGCTTGGTCACCTGTGCTGACAGCAACTTCCGTTGATATGGTGAGTTCATGGGATTTTTGAGCAACGTGAAAAATGGTGGTTTAATGGTGATCTACTGTAAATGGTTTAATGGTGGTTTAATGGCTCATAGTTCTGCCATTTTTTTGGGCACCTGGCTTCGAAAATGGAGGCCCTTTTCGCTCCACATTTTTTGGCTCATCCACGAAGGGCGGCCATCGATCACCCATTGCTCCCCCCTTCTGTTGAAGACTGGCTACGAGTTACTGCGGGGGAAGGTGGAGCCTCTCCACCACTGGATAGATGCATATCCCTGGTTTTGTGGGATAAGTGGGGTGATCAGCCACTTACAACTGGGGTCAACTCGCCTACTTACGATTCGTGGGATGAACCAAATGATGAAGGTGCTGTTACCCTCTGGTAGTTTAACATAGCTATTGAAAATGACCATTTATAGTGGATTTTCCCACTAAAAGTGGTGATGTTCCATAGCTATGTTAGTTTACCAGAGGGTATATCATCAATCCAAAGATTTATCATCGTCCATTTTACAATCCTCGATTCACCACTGGATAGATGATATTTCCATATATTTCCACAAAACTCCCCATTGTAATTCACCAACAAAAAAACACAAAAGTGAGAACATACAGAACATATCTATCATGGGGAATTTTCGATCACCAATACTGGTTGGTGGTGCAATAACCATCTTTAAACATATGAACGTCAATGGGAAGGATGGCATCCCATATATGAAATGGAAAATAAAATTCATGTTCCAAACCACCAACCAGTTATTGAACCATTATGATCCCATTATTGTCCTATATTCTAATACCATTATTGTTAATTATCCCATTATTGTCCCATCATTATACCATTATGGAAGGATTATCCCAGCCAATACATTCTAATACTAATTGGGCTACCAACCTCTCCATCCCGGCCACGCCTTGCGCTCCCTGCGGACACGCCGCCGCTCGCCGTCCGAGCCGCTGTCGCTCTCCTCGTCCTGTCAACGATACGTGGAAAAGGCAGAGAACAACGGGGGAAACGTGGTGGTTTCATGGTGATTTTCATGGGATTTTCATGGGATTTTCACATGGTGATTTCATGGGATGTTGAGGAAAAATAGTGGTTTCATGGTGCCATGCACCCACAGAATATGGTGATTTACTGGTAATTTTGATGGTGATTTAATGGCAATTGCCTTGATTTGATGAAATCATCTTATGTTTAAGAAACATGTAGGGCACACAAACTTACATTTGATCTGATTTATGATGATATGATATGATATGATATGACATGACATGATATGTAATGATTTCATCAACACATGATTGTGTCGTCCTACTCTGAAATTTCCGGATTTGACCAAGAAAGGATTTCACCCGCAGCAAAATTGGGAACTTCGCCCACAAGACATTGTGGAATCCACCCACTCAAAGCATGACTTTTCACGGCTGCTCACGTTGTTCATGATTTGACCATGACAAGTCTCACTCAGCAAGAGTGGATTCATGATGATTCAACCAAAGATTGAGACTTCGCTCACTGAAACATATATCTGGTTGGTGGTATACCTACCCCTCTCAAATATATGAAACTCAGTTGGGATTATTATTCCTAATATATGGAAAGTCATAAAATTCATGTTCCAAACCACCAACCAGATATATATAGATAGATAGATAGATAGATAGATAGATAGATAGATGTGGGTGTCTGAAAATGCTGTATACCCCCCTCTCATGGTAAACAAAAAAAAACGAAAAAATAGATCCACAGGGAAAGTCATTGAAATCACCTGGCAGAGGGCCTCAAGCTTCACCTTTACCATCCATGACCCAGAAATGGCTGGTATGAAGCCTCCAAAATTGGAGGTTGATGAAATTAATCCCCCATGTATCACCCCTTTCTATGGTTTTAATTGTGTGGTTCAATTCCCTAAACCATGGCTTCTCAGGGGGTGTTGATTTTTATGCATGTGGGAAGGGCTATTCATATCAAACACAGCCTTTCTATGGCTTTTTTTCAAACCTGTGGCTCAATTCCCAATTCCCCATGGTTTCCTTTTCTCAGGGGGGGTTGATTTTTTGATGCAGCTGCAAGGGTTACCAGGTTACCAGGTGACCATTGAGGTGACCACAGCAACAGCAACCACTGGTCCTCTGAGAAGTTCGCTTGCTGCATATAAAGCAACTGGCGCTGGAGACTTGGAGGATCACCCAGGTCATCGGAGGCGTCCCCATTTTGTTACTGGGATGGTTGCCACTTAACGTTGGGTCATTTGGGTCATCTTCAGGTGTCAATTTTTTCAAGACCATGCAACGTCTGGAAATCATACCAGAAGAAAAAAAATATCCCATGTTTGTCAGTCTTCTATCAAATAAACAAGCCTTTTTAGATCCTTGAGCAGTCATCATCAGCTACCCAAGCTTGACCTAAACCTAGGCTACAAGTATCTCAAAAAATGGTGAGAGGCGTCGACCCACAAAATGATCATTGCCTTTAGTGGCATTGTTGGTGCTATTTGAACATATCTAACTAAGCATCTAAGCATACATGTTTGGGTCTTTTTTTGTCCCATGCGTGTTGATAAAAAAATATCGTCCATGAGGATGCCCCACATGTGCCATGGTCATGTTTAGCACATCCCGGGGTGTTCGGTAGATACCCGGCCTGGTAAACGTGTACAAAAAAAACCCATGGAAAGATCCACCATGCTATGAAAACGGGGATTTATCCACTATTTCGACTGGGCCATGTGAAAAAGTTCGCAAACTGTTTGACATAACCAGGCCAGGCAATCCAACTGTTGATTGTAGCTTACATTGTCCCATGATTTTCCCCACAAAAAAAAAACTGAAAAACCACCAACTGTTGGGATCTGGACCACTGGACCATGGCATATCCGCAGCCATCAGTAACCAGAAAATATGATCAAGATCATAACGATAACGATAAACTATAACATCTCCAAAAAAAAACATATCCATTAATGTTGAGTTATAGTTTTATGATATCCATAACATCAATGTTGCAACACATACAATGGCTCAATAATTCAATATAGGTTCAGGAAAGAGTACCCAAACTGACTGGTGAATCATCATGTTCCCTCTGAAAACGACGGTGTTTTTTTTGGTTTCTGGTAGTATACCGGTACCCATCTTCAAACCCAACCAACATGAAAGAAACCACCCAGGCCATTGCGCCATGGACCTCATCCATCTCTTCCGTCTTCAGCTGTCGATGCAAGGCCAGCCTCGAAAAAAACGGTTCCGCGGCCCATCCGCGAAGCAACGGGGAATGGTTTTTCGTACCGAAAGATGATGGGTCATTAAATGTCCCCATGGGTCACATCACCCAACCATGAATGGTATATGGTCAATGCCATGGCTACGATGTCCAATATACCCAAAATGGGACAGTTACCAACCCCTGAAAGATGATGGTGAGTTCGTGGGACTTCAACGTTGAATGGCGGTTGAATCAATGGCCATGCAACAGGAACCCGATTGATTGGAGGTACCGATTCCATATATTTTTGGCCTTTTTGTCAGGCCTAAATTTCAGGAAATATCCCCAGAATTTCTATGGCCTGAAAAATGGTATATACAGTATCTCCATTTTAGGAGAAGATCTCCCATTGATCGAATGGTGATCGAACAATGGCGATCTCGTGATGGTTTCATGGGAATGGGATGAAACATGGTCCTTAGGGTGATCTACTGGGACTTCGTCTAACGGTGGTTTTGGACTGATGGGAATTTGATCATCGTTCATAATCCCCCATTGAGATTTCAAACATGTTCCAAAAAACCATGGTGCTTTGGTGATAAAATCACATATTTGGGACCAAAATTCATGGGAGTGTTGAATCTGAATGGATTAACGAAAAACGAGATTGAAGCCAAGAAACAATTGGAGGCTCAAGAATAATGAAGCGTTTGAACCAAGATGATTAAACCAAGAATGTGGAAGATCTATTTTAGGCCATGATACAGTGGAATTGAATTGGACCTTTCTTAAGTGTGTTTATTTACCCAAACCTTCCCAGACCCATCAACCCATCCCAGACATGATCGATCAACTGTTCACCAACGGGCCAGCCCAAACACATGGGTTCTAAGAAATCCCTCCATAAATCGCCACTAAGAATCGTTTTTGGTGGTTAAATCCCCCTCCAAAGAAGTCCCATTAAACTTTGCCACTCATATGTATAGTCATATATATATATATATGTATATAGTCATATGTATATATATATATATGTAAACATACTGTGGATGGTTGCGAAATCCTGCACCACAAGGATGGTTGAAACCCTATGAATAATAGGATTCACACTCTCACCTTTTTTACGCTAAGCAGGTTAAGTTTGTAGAAAAAATTGTCTTGACAACCCCCATCTACCCTCGGTCCTTGGCTCACGGACGTTTGAAACATTCGAATACTCATCACTCCGTAGCCATTTGAAATTTCATCAAACAGCACAAAATAAAACAAACACTTGGGCGTGAGGAATTTTTATTTATGCCTTTTCCTTCGAACCAAGGGTAGGTAGAGGGAGGGAGAGACGAAGCCACGCTGAGAGCCAAAAAAGGGCCGAGTCTAAATCCTAACCCTGGAAGACCAGACACTAGGATTCACACTCTCACCTTTTTTACGCTAAGCAGGTTAAGTTTGTAGAAAAAATTGTCTTGACAACCCCCATCTACCCTCGGTCCTTGGCTCACGGACGTTTGAAACATTCGAATACTCATCACTCCGTAGCCATTTGAAATTTCATCAAACAGCACAAAATAAAACAAACACTTGGGTGTGAGGAATTTTTATTTATGCCTTTTCCTTCGAACCAAGGGTAGGTAGAGGGAGGGAGAGACGAAGCCACGCTGAGAGCCAAAAAAGGGCCGAGTCTAAATCCTAACCCTGGAAGACCAGACACTAGGATTCACACTCTCACCTTTTTTACGCTAAGCAGGTTAAGTTTGTAGAAAAAATTGTCTTGACAACCCCCATCTACCCTCGGTCCTTGGCTCACGGACGTTTGAAACATTCGAATACTCATCACTCCGTAGCCATTTGAAATTTCATCAAACAGCACAAAATAAAACAAACACTTGGGTGTGAGGATTTTTTATTTATGCCTTTTCCTTCCACGACCCCTAGATTTCCAGCCTGCTGGTGGCTCAATGTGGCTGACGTGTTGCCATTGAGTAATGAGCGTTCGTTGATACGCAGAAGGAACCACAGTCATGTTTGACAACAGTGCAGTAGAGTCATCAATGTATTGCTTCATGACTCGTTCACTGGTCCATCGACCAGCATGCTGCACTATGTTGTAGGAATGAGTACTCAACCACATGTCTGTAGCTCCTCCTCTGCGCAAGCTGTATGGTTTCAGGTTGAGCTTGTCCAAGCCACAGTCGACCAGTGCCTGTTGAAACACTGATCGGAATTTGGAGCTAGTGTATGGGATCAACGGGGTCTCCAGTTTAACACTACTAAGCCAAGTAGTGAGGAGCCTGCCTAGCATTAAATCAGTGATGTGTACTGTGCCTGCAGAGGGATTCCTGCCAGAAGTTTTTGTGAATCCCAGGCGAATAAGTATGGTACTCTGATCTGGTGAAATGGTAAAGTCCCGCGCATGTATATTCAAAAGCTCTCCTGTGCGAAGGAGACACTTAAAAGCAACCAATAAGCCCAATGAAGTTTGGGGAGAAGATGCGTGAATTTGGCCGAGGAGGATTTGCAGCGTGACCCATGTGAAAGGGGTCGCTCTGGCTGGCAGCTCATGCTGCTGCCATGTTTTCAGCATTTTCCAAGATTGGTTGAGGTTCCGTTTGGAACTTGGCTGAAAATGCTGAATACTTGATAGAGTGTCTCCTGCCAATGCCAGGGATTCTCCATCTTCCCAAAGAAAATTCAAATAGTCAACTACCTGTCTATCCAGACCCGATCGGGTATTGGATAATTCAATGTGGTGCAAATTTAAATATTGAACGAAGGCTCGAAAGGCTTTTTCATACCGGGTAATGGTAGTTGGGCGTAACACCAGGGATTTTAGGGATCCAAGTTGGGCTCTACGCTTCTTACGCTCGGATTTTTCCAGTCCTTCAACTATTTGATGTCGCCCCATTTTCGTTTACGCAAGCGCCTTGATGGCGCATCGGCTGGGTTTGTTTTTGAGGCGGTATATCCAAGTGTAAGAAGCAAGCCCCCACAAAGTTGAAGGCCAGCAATTCGTTTACAGATGGCTCGAAGCTTCCTACTGGAAGTTCGACCCTTGCTGATGATTTGCAGACCTACCATGGTATCAACCAAATGCAGTACTTTGGATCTATATCCCCGGTGTTTGAACAAACGCCATCTAAGACTTGTCTATTGCCCTTAATTCGAGCCGATTGATATGTTCCCCGATCGTGCCTCCATTTGGCTTCCAGGTCCACCCACATAGAACACGCCAACGCCAGAGCTTGGGGTTCAGTGAGTTCCTGAGCCGGTGGAAATGGGGAACCCCTTCGGTGGGGTTACTCAGCAGTATATCAGTTCCTTTGGCAGATACCAAATGGAACAGCTTTCGCACCAAAGTCAATTGCGGGTGCTCATTTTGGGAGGTTGATTTGAAGGGCAAAGCCGCTTTGATTTTCGGTCGCAGTAGCTTACCTGACATATCTTTAGGTCCTCCAGGTTTAAGCCGATTCATAATTTGGGAGACAGTAAGATGGGGGATTAGACCCAACGCATGACAGAGGGGTTGTAATAGATTACAAACAACTCCTACATGCCAAGCATTACCAATAAGGCTCATTCGGGTGTCATCCGTTTCGAGAGGGTGTGATTTTCGAAATGATTTGGGATGACACATGTGGGTATAATCTAACGGAAAACCCATGATAGCCTCTTTTTCATTGATATCCAAAGTTCTCCACCCTTTTCGGGGGTGAACCAGCCCATTGGCAAATTGAAACCAGTAGGGCGGAAACCGTAAGCGGTCCGCTTTCCAGGCAGCCACATCCCGTTCTGTGGCTGTTTGCAACCCTGCCGGCTTATACCGAGGGACCTTGGATGGCTGTGCGGTGGTGAAAGTATAGAACTTTCCCTCCGCAGCTGGCTTCCAGCCAGGGCGAAGAAATTCCTTGGCTTGGCAATCAAAATGAAAACGGATTTCACCCCAGTCAAGAGGAGAGTTCGATTCTGGGGGGAAGATCCAAATCCCTTCGCCCGCTTGAATCTCCCAATTAAACCACCAAAATCGGGGGCGCCGACACAACGACAGATACGAGGCGTCCACCTTGTAGGGAAGGACCCCTGACGATCGGGTGTAGACTTCTCGGTTTCTCTCCCCCATGCTGCAAACACCTTCCATTAGGAAAAAGCAGGGGCACCAGAGGAAAATCTCTCTAATCCAACCCTTGAGTTTGTCAAAGATTTGATGGAGGGAAAATTTGGGGTCGGCTTCCGCGCCCAGGCGTGAGGCGTTTAAGCCTGACACACCCTGAGAGGGAGGACCTCCGCCAAAAAGCACGGCTTTGCAATTAGGAAATTTTGCTCCAATTTCGGCCAGTTGTTCCTTAGTGACCGAAGTGATGTCGTCAATCTGAAGAGAGCAGGGGAAGTGGCTTTCCAGGACTCTCTGGCCTTGAGGGCTTTTTTCAATGGCCACATACCCTGCCAAGGGAACCTTGAGGGCATCGAGAGCTACCCTAAGGGAGCCAATCCCATCGAAGGCTGAGATTACCAAAAGTCCCGATCCTTGAAAGGGTTCTTCGGTCTCGCCTCTTATGGACCCCTGAGCGACTTCGGCGCCCCACTCCGTGAGACCCACTGAGGCCACCAGGCCCCCCCACTTTCTGAAGCATCCGATGCGGTGACAACAGAGTCTGTGGGCAACCGAAAGTCCATGTACGAAAAACACGACAGGAAAAAGGATGCCCAAATTTCTTGGGCCACCGAAGTGGGTAGGGGCATGTATTTTCTGTCGTTAGAAAAGCCAGAGATGAATTTCCAGATTTCGTTGAGGTTGGCCATTAATGGCCTACGATAGGAAAACATGTAGACCAGCCCACCTGCCAACATCTGCATTTGCTTCTGAGTCACGTTCCTATTTCCAAGAACGTACACCAACGCTGTCAAATATTTCCCCACTTTATCGGTCTTTGGGCTGCAGATGCCTTTTTCTCCATCTATCCATGCTCCCTGCATTTCAGCAGCCTCGGCAGCTTCAACCGCTTTCTTTTCATTCCTCGGAATCCCTAGTTCTGAATATGTGTCCCTGAGCTTATGAATGAGGCAGTCATGTTCATCGGCCAAAATTCCTTTAGAATGCACAGACAACAAGTCAAAGTTATCTAAGTACACCCTGAAAAACTGCGACGAACTTGGCAGTTCACGGTCGCGTCTGATTTCTTGCCCAAAGTTCATGCTCGTTCCAAAAGCGCGCCCTATGATCTGCCGATGTAGATGTTGCGCCACTGCCACACTATTCAGAAACCCCATGGGCAAGACCTTGCTATAGAGAATGTACTCCTCATGTGCACCCTCAGGTCTCATGTCCCGGGGGATCGGTCTTGAAAAACCCAGAAACTTATTCCAAACCGGGGGGACCCCTATGATGTAAAACATTGCCCGGATATCTTCGCTGGAAATTACTATTCCCTCAGAGGGATGAACCTCCAGCTGCGCCATCTGCGAGATAACCGGCAAAGTACTCAGGTCGCCCCCCAACGGTAAAAAGTTTTCATTTATTGGACGCAAGTCCATGATCAAACGAAGGACCTCTATTCCATCCGGGGTCGTTTCGTTTTTTGGAACACCGAATAGCCCTCCCAAGATAGGCTGTCCACCCACCTTGAAGGCTTCTGACAGTGGCATTATTCCACATATCTGACGCTGGAGAAGTCCAGAAACTACTTCTCTCCACGCATCCGGTGGAACTTGTACCCGAGGGGGCCGCATCCAAGCACGGGCTGAAACCGGCTTGAGCCACCTATCGGGATGAAGCATGAAATCTTTGAAACCGTCTATACAAACCTCTGCAGCCGGCAGAATACCTGCCAGACCTTCTGAAGGTAAACTGGTGGCAACGTTCTCCCATCGGACTGACCTAGCTATGTGAACCTCTTCACCATATGAATTTATCCATCTTTGACAGAAGAAATCATCCGGGTCAAATTCTTTGAAAGTCAACACCCCCCAATTATCCAACAGTACTAGACTCCTTCGGATCTCCTCCAACAGTCGTGTCTGGTGGTTATTTGGGGGGGAATCTCCCAGATGAAATGAATTACAAAACATCCAATTAAAAGATCGGATCACCCCCTCCTCCCAGGTTCTTATCATCTCGCTCTGCTGACCCTCATGATCAGCAGGCAAGGGGAGCGGAAAAATTCCCTCCATGCTGGAAACCCGCTTAGCCCTTTTAAAAGTTCCTAGGACTTTGGGGAGGTGAGCAAAAACCTGGTCTGCCAAACCCTTCAGGTTTGCTTCCCGGGCCCCTAATGCATTCCCAGACTCCTCAGCCGCCGCAACGACGTCGCTCTCCAACGTCGCGCCATGGCTCGGAGTCTCAAGATGCGACGAAACCTTCCCGGGGGTATGTCATCAATGACCAATTTGCCGGTACCGGCATGGAGATCGACTCCAATCCAGATTTTATTTCCTTTTGCCTGATTTCTTCTTGAGCTGCCATCATGCTTTGCAGGATGAGCTCATCAATACTCGACGCATACAAATCTGCGTCCTCATCACTTACTTCGATCAGTTCTGAGGAGGGGTCACCTTGCTCACCTCGGCAGAGGGCTTCCCTGCCTTGTCCTTGCCTTTCCCTTTTTCCGCCCCTTTCCTCTTGCCTTTGTAGCTCAGCGGGGGAGGTTCCTTTGGAAACGGTGTCCAGGTACCCTTCCCCGTCGCTGGAGCTGATTTCAACTGGCGCTGAAGCTTGGCCTCTGCTGTGAACTGCCTCTGTGCATATCTCGCCTCGTCGTCTGCCACCATTCCCAGGTGGTCGCGTGGTAGCAGTTCCAGCTGAAGCGCCAGATTGGGATCGGCCCCTTGCTGAATCAGCTCTAAACTCTTTAGCCGCTGAGCAGCTATGTCCAGCACGGCCAAGATATCTCCTTCTATCAGGGTGTCCAGGATCATAGATAAAGTCATCATCTCCCTTTGCAATCCTCTGGACCCCCCGCGAGGAGCTACCACTTGGCGGAAGTACCTGTGAAAAATCTTGAAGCTCTGGGGACTTTCCCCGCACGCCTCTGCCAGGTTTCGCTTGGCCTCTTTGGCTGAGGAACGGCACAGGTAACCGGGCAGTCGCTTGGCCAGAGTTCTTAGACGATGCTCGGACCCGAGTCCCTCGTGAGACGAAAGACTGGAAGTCGCATCCCCTGAGCTTCGAGAGCTGGAACTGCTTCCCTTCTTCTTCACTCGAATTTTGATGGGCTTCCTGAACTGAGGATCCAGAGGAGTCCCAACACAGTTCCACTTGGCTGCTTCTAGCATCTTTCTCACCTTCTGTTTTCCCTTGAGCTTCTTTTCCCCGGGGGGTTTCCTTGCTTCTTCGACGGAAAGTTCTTGGCCTATGCCAAGCTGCCCTGGAGCACCTCGAGGACCTTGCAAGCCCATTTTCTGAGCAGCTTCTCGTAAATCCTCGTTCTCGTCCACCCCCTCCCGCTGGTCCCTGCAATTTTCTGCCCACGGCATGTGGTCTGTTGCCAGCACTTCCCTGTACGCGAGGAGATATCCTATCCCTGGGGTACTTAATCTCGCCCCGGGAGGATGCTCCAGCCGCGACAGGTACAGAATGGGGTCTGAACGAGGACTGGTGATGAGGAACGTCCTCAACTGATGAATAGGAGTCCCTGTCACCATGATCCCAATCCATTGCCCTTCGGCGTCGGTGGTATTCTCGCGAACCACTCCTTGTATCAGACCTTCCTCTCCTGCGTACCATACTTTCGCGATGATCTTTTGACCAATTTTCACGTGTTCAGGAGTCAAATCCTTAACCAAAATCCAAACCTCACTGGGATCCGTTTCCTGAGGAGGTACCGCAGCCGCAGGCTTCCTCCTAACAGGAGACGGGCCGGCAGGGTGGCCTCGGGCCTTTGCCTTAGCTCTCAACCTTGGGAGGATGACCGCTGCTGGCCTTCGCACCTTCGGAGTGGAGCGGCCTCTGGTGCCGCCTCAGCACTGACAGCCCCTACCGCTGGCAAATCCCCGCCGCCAGGGGTTTCAGTATTTTCAGCAATGATGGTTCCCTCCGGTGGCAATTCTCCGCCGCCAGGAGCCACAGTGTTTCCTTCTTGGGAACTGCTCTCACTTTCCTCGACTCGGCCAGGAGAGGTAGCTGCAGCTGAAGATTTGGATTTGGCTTTGGCACGCCTCTCCTCGATTTTTTGACCAATAAATGCGTCACGTTTTTTACCTTTGTTCTTTTTCTTTTGTGGGTCTTGATATGTATTGTCCCAAGATCCACCCCAGCTCCAGTTGTCGTTCCAGTCCCACGATGATGACCAAGAATAGGGGGCTGAGTACTTGTTTTTTCCCCAGCCCTTGTTACCTCGTCCTCCAGTCTTTCCTTTTCCCTTTCCTTTAGTCGGAAGATAGGAAGCGGAGGGGGCACTCTCGGTTTCCTTGCCTTCTCCCTTACCGGCCGCGCACTGGCTGGCTCGAGGAGGAGAAGGAGGCTCAGGCACTGGGGTACCTGAGGCCCCTTTTAGCACAACCTCAGCACGAGGCTTGGCTGGAGGAGGCTGAGAAGGTCCCTCCCTAGGCCGCAGGTGTGGAATCCACTCGGCAGGGGGTTTCGATTTGACTTTGCTAGCCGATGAAGCCCGGGGGTCTTCTTCACGAACACTTGTGTCCTTTTCTCCTTGTTCTACAGCAGGAGAGGCCTCGCGGCGTGCCCTTTTCGGGTTTGTATCTTCTTCTTTCTTTCCGACCGAAGAGCCAGTCTCAGGCTCACCCCGATCACGTCTCCTATCCCTAGTTTCTCTAGGAGGAGACGGGTTTCTCTCTTGTTTTACTTTCCTCTCGGAAGAACGCCTGTCTCGACGCCTTCTCCTTGACCGGTCCCTCTCGTGGGATCCTTTCCTTGGGCTGTGGTGGCGTGATGCACCAGCCCTTGTTCCCCTCTCACCTAGGGGAGATTTGCGACCTCCTCCTTCCCGGCTATCAGCTGGAGGAGGTGGTCGCGAAGTTCTCCTCTCGTCAGCAGAGACGAGGAGAACTTCAGAGGTCAGATTCCCCAAGAGCTCAGCCAGCTGGGCTGAGGTCCTGTCGTAGATCTCTTCAGAAAAAGACCTATCGCCTGCCACTCGGGTAATGGCAAGGCACAGCCGACACAAACGGCAAGCTCCGTCCCTTTCCGGCTCCCACTTTTTACAGTGGTTACACCAAGCCATCCAGAGACGAAGCCACGCTGAGAGCCAAAAAAGGGCCGAGTCTAAATCCTAACCCTGGAAGACCAGACACTGGGATCTTTACCACCGTTTTCAACTGGTGGATTTCGGAACCACTGCATAATTTCGATGATTCTACACAGATTCTACCCTCTGGCAAACGTTTACATAACTATGGAAAGATCCACCATGCTATGAAAATGGGTAGTCATCAACTATTTCGACTGGGCCATTTTCAAGTTCGCAAACTGTTTGTTTACCAGATTCTACACTACATAGTAACCCCCCCTGCCATTCTCCCTTCTCGCCTATGCTGAGCCTCCTCCACCGTCGAGGAAAAGAGCCGCCAACTGCGGCAAGCTATGGAGTGGGACGGTTTTTTCGGATCCGCCCCGTCACAAATTAGGAAAATCATGAAGAATCCATGAAAATCATGTAAAATCATTAGGATTCATGGTCCAAACCCCTGAAAAAAATCAGGAAAATATGGTAAAATCCATGAACCATCGTCCAGTGAGTTTTCGAAAGTGGTTTTAAACTGCTCCAAATCATTCCATAAACCGTCCCCAACAAAGGTTATTGGGTCTATCATTCCATCACACGTTCTTTTTGGTTTCGCCATACAACCGGTAAAAACAACCACTGAACTGTTCCATCAGGACAAGTTCTTTTGTTGGATTACAACCCACTTATTCACCACTTTTCACTAATCCCATGGTCTGTCGAAGTAGTTCTATAGTTGGTGACATTTCCCATGGGATTCCCGTATAAATATCCCATTAAAACATCGTGTTTATTGGTCTTAACACATCAACATCATTCCACTGTTAGATCTACCACAAACCATAGAATTCACAGTATTGACACAGTAGATCCCATTGATCTGGGCAAAATTAATTGTACTTCACTAACATGCCAAATTTCCTTCAATTTTTTCGTAATTCACTCATGAAACCAGCTGAAAAATCATGAAAACCAGCACTTTTCACCACCATTTCTCCACCTTGAGATCCCCAGCCCCCAGGCCCCCCCATGGCCCCAGCCTGAAGTCGATAGGCACCTCCGAATCATTGCGGATCGTCACGACGCCCTGGGACTCCAAACCCACGTAGGTGTCCTGCGGAAATGCCGATTTCACCACGCTCCTTGACCTATGGCTGAATAGCCTGGCATGGAAGGAAACAAGCCATATCCCTGCTATACTCGTATCCATGCTAGTCTGGTTTCCTGATATATATATATATATATTATATATATAATATATATATATGTACTTATTTATCTGTTTTTTCACAATATAATATAAAATGTATATATCAATATCATATGATATTATAGAATATCATAGCGATTGTATAATGGTTCGTGTCAAAAAATACGAACAGATGCCAACAATCACCGGGTTGGTTGAAGGGTTCCCCATGTCCCCAGGCATCCTACACACAAAGGGCTCTTTTGTAAATTTGCACCGGCCAGGGGATTACAGCGGTTCATCATGGGTCAAATTACAGCTTTTTGTATGGAAAATGTATGGAAACAAGCTAGAGCAGCTTTTCAGAATTCGGAAGGACAGCGCTGTTGGTACTTTGGGATAGCTACATCTAATGACGTCAAATTTCGACCGTCACAGGCGGTCCTAAAACAATTCATCCAGTACAGATATATCCCCATGATATCCCATACTAGCATGTTTGTGAAATCCAGCTGGACCTAGGACAGAGTCGGACAGAGGGAGAGGGTCCACCATGGTCCCCATACCCCGGCCCGTCCTCAATGAGGAGCAAGCTGTGAGACAGTGAAACCTGAAAGACATGAGGAGATGGGAAAGAGTGGATTTTCAGCAACAGAAATGGGGGTCGATCACAGATCCGATGTCGATCTTTTGTATCAACCATCTACTTTGGGGTACCTGACCTCATGTTCGACCCATATCCAAATGGGGATGCATTAAGAAGGAAACTGGATTTACGGCAAAATTCATCTTAGGGAAGGCGGAACTTGGTCGAAGCATGCGGGAAGGAACCCAAGAAACTGAGGCTTTCCCAACTCGTCTTAAACCAGAGCATGGTAAAGTCTCCAATCTTAAGTAAGACCCAGTTTGCTTTGGCAACCAGATGGGCTTGTCCAAAAACAAAGTTGTAGATTGTCCGGAAAAACGAGGAAAACTTTTTTGGGGGGATATGTAACCGACACTATTATAGTTTGATCAGTCTAAAAATGATGGAAAATGATGATAACTTGATAACCATGGGATTTGCGGGGGTTGCCCTGTTTTCAGACAAACCCACATCACGACACAGCCTCCCGTCACCTTGGATTGGTATCTTCTCCCTTCTTGTGGGTCGCTGGTCATTTCTATCCACCCAGAAACTTCTTGAAAACAAACATGAAAGCCAAACATGATAAAATGAGGATCACCCAATCTGAGTTCTTTGGCTTTCAACTCGATTCACCATATGTTCCCCACATATTACCGTGGCTACAACTTAGATCTTCGCTCCCCATCAACTAGCTCAACTCGCCGCTCCCTCCACCACTGGATAGGAATCAAATCCCCCTCAACATGTGGATGGATCAAAATTCTAGAACCAAAAAAAACCATCTCAGTCCATCTACTTATATCTTAGATCATCAACCATCAATTTTTCATTTGGACCCATCAACCATGGAATTATTTGGAGATATCTACCATCAACCATCGAATTCACCGAAGCTGGTCAACTCACAGTTCGCTATGGAAAATCACCATCTTTAATTTCGGTAAATCAACGAACTAAATGGGCCATGGCTTCAATAGCAAACTGTTAGTCATTACCAGAGGATATATCTACAGGATGGTGCCCCCCAGTTATAAGTTGGTTTATAAACCCCATGAAAACTAGTTCGTTATATCTGCCATAAACCATAGTGAAATGGGAGTTATTTGCACCAACTTAGCTAACGAACAGGGGCCCCCCCTTGTACCATGAAAACCATGGAATTCACCGAAGCAACTTGACCCGAAAAACCCGACCCCCGATGGCATCACCTCTGCATTGCAGGCTCCGCCCCGCAGCATGGCGGTGCACTCCATCTCGCCGTACCTGTGTCGGTTAACTCGGCCGCGATGCCGAGGCGGCCATGTTTGATGGGTGATTTATGGGGGATTAATAGTGATTTAATAGTGATTTAATGGGATTATAGGGATTCTTATGGGGCTTAACCAAACAATAATGCTGATTATTATGGTATTAATGATATATAATAGTGATTCACCAACCATCATGCCAGGGAATTATTAGTTATTCATAGTGATTTAATAGTGATTAATAATAACCAAGTTCCCTATTATGGTATTAATAGTGATTTAATAGTGACTTAATGGTGATTTTTATCGGGAATTCACCATATTATGGGGCTTAACCAACAATGCTGATTATTCATGGTGATTTTCCATGGTGATTTTTATAGGGAATTCACCAACCCAAATGGGGGTATTATATTCCACAAGTGAAACTTAGAATGACGTCCAGGTTTCCAAAACGATAATCTTAGACACTTAGAATGACTCGGTTTCGTGGGCATGCTAAGTGTTTGAAACCTGCAAAAATACACATAATTTAAAATTCTAGATTTCACTGCTTTTTGATGACATTTTCCCAAAAAACGACTATCGAAACCCAAAATTGATGACCCTTCCAGATTATTCTCACTTTTTTGTTCATCCACTTCCTACCCTTTCGAGGGTCATGCTAAGTGTATGAAACCTGCAAAAACACACATAAATTGACTTGCAACACTTTTGCAGCCCCAAAAAAGTGGTTCCAACTGTCTCTACAAGATATATTTATGGGAACTGGTTATATGCTTGTAACGCTGAAAGTGGTGACCCTCTAGCTGCTAAATATTTGCATATATTTGCTAAATAGGCGCTGAATAGTTGCAGAGTAGTTGCTGAATAACTACTAAATAGTTTCGAAATAGATGCTGAATTGTTTCTAAATAGTTGCTGAATAATAGCTGAATGGCTGCTAGGTAGCCACTAAACAGCTGCCAAATGGTTACTACATAGCTGGTAAATAGCTGCTAAATAGTTGCTAAGTAGATGATAAGTAGAGGCTAAATAGCTGTTAAATAGCTGCTAAATAGCTGCTAAATAGATGCTAAATAGCTTCTAAATAGCTGCTGAATAACTGCTAAGTAGCAGCTAAATAGTTGCTCAATAGCTGCTAAATAGCTGTTGAACAGCTGCTAAATCTCTATTCAATAGCTGCTAAATAGCTGCCAAATATTTGCCAAATATTTGCTAAATGGTTGCTCAATAGTTGCCGAATAGTTGCTAAATAGTTGCTAAATAGCTGCTGAATCAGTGCTAAATAGCTGCTAAATAGTTTCTACATAGTTTCTACATAGCTGCCACATTGTGACTAAGTAGCTACGCAATAGCTGCTAAATATTTCCTAAATAGCTGCCAAATACCTTCTAAATAGTTCCTAACTAGCTGTCAAATTGTTATTAAGTAGTTGCACAACAGCTGCTCCATAGCTGCTAAAAAACATTTAAATAGCTGCTAAATACGTGCTAAGTGGCTGCTAAATATTTTCTAAATAGCTGGTAAATAGTTGCTAAACAGTTGCTGAATACATGCTAAATAACTGCCAAATAGAAACCACATAATGATTAAATAGATTTGAATAGCTCCTAAATAGCTACTAATAGCTGCCAAATAGTCACTAAATAGCTGCTAAATAGCATTTGAACAGCTGCTAAAGAGCTGCTGAATAGCTGCTAAATAGCTGCTAAAGAGTTGTAAATAACTGCTAAATAGCGTGCACATAGCTGCTAAATAGTTTCTAAATAGCTGCTCAATAGTGACTAAATAGCTGCTAAATAGCTGCTAAATAGCTGCTAAACAGCTGCTGAGTAGTTGCTAAATAGCTCTTAAAATAGCTGCTAAATAGCTGTTGCATAGTTGCTAAATAGCTCCTAAAAGCTTTTCAATAGCTGCTAAATAGCTGAAATATATTTGCTGAATAACTGCTAACTCCTTTCTAAATAGCTGCTAAATAGATACAAAATTGTTGCTAAATAGCTACTAAATATTTTCTAAATAGATGCCAAGTCTAAACAGCTGCTCGGGAGCTGCTAAATAGAACAAGGAGGTAAACCACATTCTAAGTGTTGAAAACCTTCTAAATATCAGTAAATTCAAAAAAACACCGGGTGCCTGATCTTTTGATTATGTTTTTGCATCATTCTAAGTGTCAAACCGTTCGCACATAGCGTGGTGGGAAGATGATTTCAAAAGTGTAAGGTGCCCAAAACGTGAGTTTTGGCTTATCCGGTGGTGCGGCGGCTTCCAAAACTATATTCTACGTTCCTAAATAGCTGCCAAATACGTTCTAAATAGCTGCTAACTAGCTGTCAAATTGTTATTAAGTAGTTGCACAATAGTTGCTCCATGGCTGCTAAATAGCTGCTACATAGCTGCAAAATTCCTATTAAATAGGTTCGCAATAGCTGGTCAAAAAGTTTTAATGGCTGCTAAATAAGTGCCAAGTAGCCGCTAAATATTTTCTAAATAGCTGGTACATAGTTACCGAACAGTTGCTGAATGCATGCCACATAGCTGCCAAATAGAAATCAAATAGTGATTAAATAGATTTGAATAGCTCCTAAATAGCTACTAATGGCTGCCAAATAGTCACTAAATAGCTGCTGAATAGCTGTTGAACAGCCGCTAAATAGCTGCTGAATAGCTGCTAAATAGCTGCTAAAGAGTTGCAAGTAACTGCTAAATAGCTGCAAAATAGTTTTCAAATAGCTGCTCAATAGTTAGTAAATAGTTGCTGAATAGCTGTTAAATAGCTGCTAAAAAGCTGCTAAATAGTTGCCAAATAGTTGCTAAATAGGTGCTAAATAGCTGCTAAATAGCTGATAAATAGCTGCTAAACAGCTGCCAAAATCTATTCAATAGCTGCTAAATAGGTGAAAAATAGCTGCTGCATAGTTGCTAAATAGATTCTAAATAGCTGCTAAAAAGCTATTCAATAGATGCTAAATAGGTGAAACATGGCTGCTGAATAACTGCTAACTCCTTTCTAAATAGCTGCTAAATAGTTAAAAAATTGCTGCTAAATAGCTACTAAATATTTTTTTAAAATAGATGCCAAATAGTTACTAAATAGCTGCTAAACAGCTGCTGAATCAATGCTAAATAGCTGCTCAAGAGCTGCTAAATAGAACAAGGAGGTAAACCACATTCTAAGTGTTGAAAACCTTCTAAATATCAATAAATTCAAAAAAACACCAGGTCCCTGATTTTTTTTGCTTATGTTTTTGTATGTCAAACCGTTCGCACATAGCGTGGTGGGAAGATGATTTCAAAAGTGTAAGGTGCCCAAAACGTGAGTTTTGGCTTATCCGGTGGTGCGGCGGCTTCCAAAACCATATTCTAAGTTCCTAAATAGCTGCCAAATACTTTCTAAATAGCTGCTAACTGGCTGTCAAGTTGTTATTAAATAGTTGCACAATAGTTGCTCCATAGCTGCTAAATACGTGCCAAGTCGCCGCTAAATATTTTCTAAATAGCTGGTAAAAAGCTGCTGAACAGTTGCTGAATACATGCCAAATAGCTGCCAAATAGAAATCAAATAATGATTAAATAGATTTGAATAGCTCCTAAATAGCTACTAATGGCTGCCAAATAGTCACTAAATAGCTGCTGAATAGCTGTTGAACAGCCGCTAAATAGCTGCTGAATAGCTGCTAAATACCTGCTAAAGAGTTGTAAGTAACTGCTAAATAGCTGCCAAATAGCTGCTAAATAGTTTCTAAATAGCTGCTGAATAGTTACTAAATAGTTGCTGAATAGCTGTTAAATAGCTGCTAAAAAGCTGCTAAATAGTTGCTAAATAGTTGCCAAATAGTTGCCAAATAGCTGCTAAATAGCTGCTAAATAGCTGCTAAATAGTTGCTGAAAAGTTTCTAATAGCTGCTAAATAGCTGCTAAACAGCTGCCAGAAAATTATTCAATAGCTGCTACATAGCTGAAAAATAGCTGCTGAATAACTGCTAACTCCTTTCTAAATAGGATATTCACAAAATAGCTGCTAAATAGCTACTAAATATTTGCTACATAGATGCCAAATAGTTACTAAATTGCTGCTAAATAGCTGCTGAATAAATAACTGCTAAATAGCTTCTAAATAGCTGCGCAAGAGTTGCTAAATAGAACAAGGAGGTAAACCACATTCTAAGTGTTGAAAACCTTGTAAATATCAGTAAATTTTAAAAAATTGCCCGGTGCACGTTTTTTTGATGATGTTTTTGCATCATTCTAAGTGTCAAACCGTTCGCACATAGCGTGGTGGGAAGATTATTTCAAAAGTGGAAGGTGCCCAAAACGTGAGTTTTGGCTTTCCCGGTGGGGCGGCGGTTTCCAAAACCACATTCTAAGTTCCGCTTGTGGAGTATAATAGGAAATACCCTCTGGTAATTTAACAGTTTGCTATTGAAGCCATGGCACATAGAAATAGTTGATTTACATTGATTTACCGAAATTAAAGATGGTGATGTTCCATAGCGAACTCTTAGTTTACCAGAGGGTATCCTAGTTTAAACATTGGCTGGAGGGAGCTAAGATTTCAAAGAAATATATGTTCTGTTATATGCCATCCATACATATATATATAATATAAATATAGATATATATATATATATATAGATATCCCTATAATTATCTATGATTGTAGATATTACACCCCCATTTCTGTCGATCAAATCCATAAAAAAAAAAAAACTTATATCCCCCAATTTCTGGTGAAATCCTACTATACTCCATGATTTATGCGTCCAACAAAATACCATACCATTTTCATTTATGCGTCCATTATCATTGTCATACCTTGTCATTAATTAAGTGGTTGAATGTCCCATAAATTCTATATTTATGTCATTTTCCCAGCTTTATAAACCTCCAAGACCTCCATTGACATAGGATTTTCCTATAGTTTCCTATGATTTCCCATAGTTTCCCATACTTTTCCCATGATTTTCCCCACGATTTTCCCATGGTCCCGTGACCCCTAAGGCAGGTCAGGTCGCCCCCGAACGGTCCTCCTGGGTCTCCCCGACTTGATCTCCAGCGGGACCTCGTAGCGCTCCGCCCGCGGGGGCGTGAAGAACACCGAGACCTGCGGAATTTCTATGGTAAAAACCATGAAGATTCTTGGCAAAAACCCCAATTCTTGGGGTTTACCATAGGAAAATGGAGGTTTTAATGGGAAAACCATAGGAAAACCATAGGAAAATGGAGGTTTACCCTCTGGTAATGACTAACATAACTATGGAAAGATCCACCATTTTGAATGGGAAAATCCACTATTTAATGGGAATATTCTTGGTATACCCTCTGGTAATTTAACATAACTATGGAAAATGACCATTAATAGTGGATTTTCCCATTAAAAATGGTGATTTTCAATAGCTATGTTAAATTACCAGAGGGTATACCCCAATTCTTGGGATATCCTTGGGGACTTTACCTGGATTTTGTTGGGATGAAATTGTGAAAGAGTATGACACTATTGATGGATTTCACCATAGAAATTATTGATGGAAATGTCATACTATTTCTATGGTATACCCCAATAGTATGAAATATCCATCAAGAAACTGACTGGTTGGTGGTTTCAATCCCTCTGAAAAATATGAAAGTCAGTTGGGATGATGACATTCCCAATATATGGAAAAATAAAAAATGTTTGAAACCACCAACCAGCTGACAGTAGTCAACACAATTTGTTGGATCCAATCAGCCAGGCCTATGGATTGACAGATCTGGCAAGCGGACCATCTATGACCAAACAGCTATTGCTGTGAAGAAACTGACATGGACTTCCTATGAGGATCTCCTATTGTCAGTTCTATGTATTGAATATTGTTGGTTATACCCTCCAATAGTTATAGCTTGGGGTATATACCCCAAAGAACTCTATCCTATTGATTATACCCAAAGCTATGAGGGTATAATTTAATCAATAAATATCCATGCTGTTGGTGATACCCAGTAAGCTGACATAGCTATATACATACACATGCCCATTTCAAATCATTGAGTTGTTACTTTTCACAAATGGTGATGTTCCAAAAAATATCCTGGGATGGGCAATTGGGGATGATGCGGATGGGGGATGGTATACTTGAAACACATTTTTTTGGGTCAAGTGCGTGATGCTAAGGGTGGCTAAAAGTATCCCCATAGCCTGCAGTGTTTTGGTACCAGCATCCCCATCCGCTTGCGGCGGGCTGGATCTACAAAGCTCCAAGGTGGGATGAAAATTGTGTCCAGGGCTTTGTGGCTAAAGCCACAAATCCAATACGTAGAACCAAACGGATACTCCATAATTATCTGGTTGGTGGTTGACCTACCCCTCTGAAAAATATGAAAGTCAATGGGAACGATTATCCCATATATGAAATGGAAAATAAAAAATGTTCTAAACCACCAACCAGTTTTACATGTTTACAATATTCCATGAATGGGTAAAAAGTATTATAAAGTGAACAAATAAAAACAAGGTCACGCCGCCCGCAAAGACCCTGCTGATTTTCACCCTAAAACAAGCTTTACCATTGACAGTTCCACAGGGTCGGAGTGCCTTGCTGTGATGTCTTGAAATCCCAAGGGTGGTCTTCGAGTCAAACATCCCAAGGGGATCTCAACATTTGGAGTTTCTTAGGTCATGGGGGTTCCCCAGTCGTCACCATAGGTTTCAATACTATGTCATGGTCCAATAACTTGGATCATTTGAGGTACCCAGATAGGAAACCATCAGAGAAGATCAAGAAGATGAAGTTAAAGTGAAAAAGTTACCCTCTGGTAAACGTTTACATAACTATGGAAAATCACCATCTTTAATTTCGGTAAATCAACTATTTCTATGGGTCATATTTAATAGCTACGTTAAATAACCACAGGCTACACGTTTTCTGGCTGGTCTTTTCCCCTCAACAAATCTAATAACAGGTGTTAAAAAATGTCATCATTCATCATTTTTTGGAGAAAAAAACAAAACGGATTATATACCATCTGGTTATGACTAGCATAGCCATGGAAAATTCCGAAAAATTAATGGAGGTTTCTAGCTGGATTAATTATATAGATGTCATAATGTTTGTGTTTAAAGTTTGTTTTTAAAAAAACTGAGATTTCCCCGACCCTTCAGCTTCCCAGGTACCCCACCTGGCAGGAGGCGCCTTCTTCCAGGAAGCCATCCGGCACGTCGATGCTGGCGATGATGGGCGGAGCTGGAACTGGGGAGGTATCCTCCAAAATGCTGGAAATTCATGGGGAGTTATCCTCACTGGGATTTCTATGGGATGTTCATGGATGATGTTCATGGAAATTCATGAACCCACATTGATGTTTTCGGTTTTCCGAGGTCCTAGGGCTAACCCCCAGTTCATCCTCCATTTCAGATTGGGCAAAAAATCCCTGAAACCAACCAGCTATGGGGGTACCCCCATGACTTAATTCGGAAACCGTGGGATTTCGCCAGCGACGCTGGATTTCATGAGGAGATACCCTCCACAAAACTAACCCTTCGCTATGCCATGGCCCTTAAAAATTGCAGTGGTTCCATAGCGAAGTGTCGAAATCAGGAGGAAATGTATGGAAATGTCTGGTAACTCATGGTAACTCTGGTGGATATTATGGGGATATAGTTCATGATATCTGACATGCATGTGATATGATCTTGTGGAATATTGTTAGTGAGATGATGATTAGTCAAGTGATCAGTGAAATTCTGGGAGAAAAAATGATTTTACCCCAGATGTTTTTGTTGGTTTATAAATTCATAAACCTCAAAGATCCTGGCGAAAAAAACTCAAGCTGGATCAGACATGAACCAGATGTGTTGGGTCGGGATCATGTCCCATCGAAAGGGGGAAATGTCACAGATCTCTCTGGTCAGCCTCCTTGAAACTAATTAAAGATGAAAACCGGTAGCGCTCAGCTGAGCATCATGTAATATTGTAGGTTGTGTACGAAAAGACCAAAGTCTGTTGTCTACATCCACAGATCGGTGCTTGGCTGCAGCTACCCATCGTATTTGGTCAGCCTCGTCTGTTAGCAGGAAGAACCCCCAGCTTTCATGATGGCACATCCCCGTAATTGAACTATGGAACCCCCTGAACCAATGGAACATGGAGAATACTCCGGCATCCAAGAAGCTGGAAGCTCAAAACCAAAAAAAAAATCACGTGACCAAAACTAGTTTTTACCCACCACTGAAAATCATCCCTTGCCGTGGCACCAGGGTCCCCTGAGCCGAGGCCCAACTCGTCCACGCCTAAAGGGCTCAGTGGTCCGACACAGGAGTTTGCTCGCTCGGTCGCCCACGTTGCGCACCAGCACAGTACGCTCGCACTGGCGCGTGGCGAATGCACCCAAGTGGGTGGACAGATTATAGGGAGGCTATCTTGCAAGGAAACCCCAATATTTGAAAATCAAAACCATTGGTTTCCGAGTCCCTGAAACTAGTCCCACCAGCTGTCTCCTTCCCCAGGTGTTGAGCCAAGATCTCCAAGATCTTCGCACCTGGTAACCCACCGTGCAATCATTCCCGAAGTCCACGACCTTGAAAACTCCGCGGCTCAGTCAAGTCGTGGGTACATGGCAACTGAAAATCCCAGCTGGCACCAACGAGATTTCTGGGGGGATTTCAGCAAGCCATGTTTGATCGCCAGAGAGTAAGTCTCCATTTTATGGATGCCAGGATGTTCCAAGAATCTATGATTGTTGAGTCCTCACTCTAGCTTTCAGATCCTGGATACTCCTCCAAAATCAGCCGGCAAGCCTATGATATTTTTTCACGTGATCTTCTAAAATCCCAATAGCCAGGATATTTACCAACCCTGTTATTGCCACTTTTAGAGTTACTAAAAATTCCCAATGAAGATTCCCTAAGTGGATTTCCCATAGGGGAAAATAAAAAGAAGTCTCATCTTCAGCAAATCCCCACTAAACGTCGACATAGATCACTATTGCATTCCCATGTTTCATGGTATGTATCCCAAAAAAATCCTACATATCACCGCCAACTGGGAGATATAATCTCCAACAAATACTGGTTCAATCGATGTGAAACAACTCCCCAATAGCCAGGACATTTACCAACCCCTCTTATGGCCACTGATAGAGCCACTATGAGCCACTCATATCCCCAATAGCCAGGTCGTTCGGTCATGATATTCCCATTGCATTCCAATTTTGTACTCATCTATAGCCATGTATAACCATTTCAGAGTAAGTTATAGCCACTAATTCCTTGGATTTGCTTAAGGAATCCAAAGAGAAAATCTATTCATATATATATATTATAATGTAGATATATATAATCATATTATAATATCATTAATATATATATATATTGTTTAATGTATTCCCTTTCTTCGATTCCCTGAGTAGTGAATTTCCCATTGACAAAACCAACAAACATGGACTCGGCAAATCCAGATTCAAGCAACTCAAAGAGCCGCTCAATCCCTCAAATTATCGCCATTATACTAGTTGGTTGGAAACGGTTTCCCCCAAAAAAAGTGATCATACCCTATCAACAATAAATACCAATAAGGTGTCGCAACTATCCCATAATACCCAACTTGAGAGGGGGAACACGACAGATATAGGGGATAGGTGATCAAGAAGGGGTGTAATAAAGTTTTTCAACTACCCTCTGGTAAACTAACATAGCTGTAGAAAATAACATTTTTTATTGGGTAAATCAACTGTTTCTATGGTCATTTTCAAGTTCGCAAACTGTTAGTCATTACCAGAGGCTATCCCACAATACCTGGTCAGTGGTATACCTACCCCTCTGAAAAATAGTTAATTAATGTCAGTTGGGATGATTATTCCATTCCCAATAGATGGAAAGTCATTCAAAATTCCATGGTTCCAGTCACCACCAACCAGATATATTGTTATTCCAATTATTAACCATTATTAACCATAGATTAACCATAGATTAACCATAGATTAACCAGGAAAATTCCATGGTTCCAGTCACCACCAACCAGCCATCAATGCCCAACAACCGTCGACCTTTCATGTCCAAGCCACATCCGGAAAGTCCAGTAGCGCGGAGCCACCAGATGCGCGGATCGGCACACTGCACACACGGGGACGAGGGACGAGGGGAAGAAAAAAAATCCCTGGAAAACGGGTGGAAAATCCAGGAGAATCCCATGAAAATCTCTGGAAATCCCAGGAAATCTACGGAAAATCCATGATTTTCCCTGGCAAAAATGGAGCCATCGAATCTGCAGGGGATTGGATGTGGCGTGGTTACAACATAGCTGAAAATCGATGGAAAATCTTATGGAAATCCTATGAAAATCCCAAATCCGTAAGAATTTCAATGGTTTATTGGATGAAAAATGAAGAACAGGATTCCCGGCATTTCATCCAAAGATCTCAGATGTTGGCAGAACCACCATTCAACCACCACTTCAGGTGAGGTCACCGTCCCCTTTATAGAAGAATCCCTCCACAATAAAGCTGGGAATTATATACTGGATCGCCATCCGTCAGACAAGAATTTTTTGGGGGGAATCTGAAAGCGTCCAATCTTTGGTTACTCTCGGGTAATCTAATATAGCTATGGAATCACCGCTGAAAGATGGTCTACCCTCTGGTAAACTAACATTATGTCAGCCAGCTTATTCTAACTTTTTTAAAACTTGAAAAAAAGCGCGACAAAAGCAAAAAAAAGAAAAAGCAAAAAGCAAATCAGCAAAATCAAAAAAACACAAAAGCAAAACAAAAATGGAAAAAAAGGGGAAAAACAAAGGAAAGTCAAAAAGGGTGAAAAAATGAGGATAAAAATGGACTTGTCCATTTGCATTCATTTTGCTTTTTCGATTTGTTTTTTTTTTGCTTTTATTTTGCTTTTGTTGTTGTTTTTTTCCAGGCAAAAAGCAAACAAAAAGCAAAAAAAACAAAAAAAAACAAATCGAGAAAGCAAAATAAATGCTAAGAAAATGCAAATGGACAAATCCATTTGTTTCCCATTTTTTTCCCTTGTTGACGTTCCCTTTTTTCCCCATTTTTTTTTGTTTCCGTTTGTTTCAGTTTTGAAGTGTTGCTTTTTGATTTTCCATGTGTTTTCCTTTTTTTGCGGTTTTTTCAAGTTTAAAATCATTAGAATAAGCTATAGAGGTGAACATAAAACTAAGGAAAATCACCGTTTTCAATGGGAAAAACCACTATAAATGGTCATCTTCAATAGCTATGTAACAAATTACCAGAGGCTCTCAAAAGTTGACCTAGCAGAAAGTTTTGAGGCAACGCTTGTCACATCCATTCGGTGATTTCGCTGCTTGGGCATCAGAATTCCATTGGGGTCCATTGGGCATGGGGCAGTTGAACATATTCCGAATCCCATCCCGAACATTCACGGAACCATCCATGCAAACCACTACCCTCTGGTAATTTGTTACAGTTTGCTATTGAAAATGACCCAGTCGAAATAGTGGATGACTTCCCATGAACCATGGTGGATCTTTCCAGTTCGTTATGTAAACGTTAACCAGGCCGGGTAAGCAGAAAGCCACATCACCACTCTGCGCAACCGTCTGGTTGCGCCCCGCCTGAACTCTTCTCTCTCTGTCACCTCGCCAATGGCGAGAGACGCCGTTCCAAGGTAGTGCTATTCCACGGTTTCATCCAAATGCCGTGGGTTTCTCTAGATGTTTGCCTCAATTTGGAATCTATGCAAAGTCATCCACCAATATCCACCATAGATTTCTAAGTTCTATCTCGATTCGAAACCCAAATTCCCATGGTTTGGAACCTCATTTCCCCAAACGAAATCCTTGCATTTTGGGGTATCCCCAATTTTGGGGGACCCATTTTGAAAACTACGCTTCCACTGAGTAAAGATGCACACCACATCCCAGGGGAGACTTGGCATGCGCACGACTCGAAGGTCGTAGCTATAATCTATCCTGGCAGGGAGGAAACTTGAGCAGAAGCCACATCAAAATGCGTGAAGGTAACTCTGGATATACCATCTGGTTATTTAACATAGCCATGGAAAATCCCGTAAATAAATGAGGGTTTCTAGCTGGGAAAATCATCGACATTTCTAGGGGCCATCATTTTCCATGGCTATGTTAGTCATAACCAGAGGGTAGTTTTCTTCAACACGTTCGCAATTTTTGGTATCCAACTTTGGGAAGACATCACTGTCTTCCCAGTGTTCGAAACCCCCGGCCAGCTACCTACCAGAAATCTCATCGTCAATGATTGGTAAATATCACCATATCTATATATATATATCACCATTCTGGTTGGCTCAAAGCCTCAAATTTGCTGCTAACATCACCTACATTGCCCCCTAAAATTCTTACAGAGATCCTAAAAATCGTCCAATTTTTTTCATGGAAACTCGTCTTCGAGGGCCCCCTTAGACCATGAATTCCACCAGCGCCTGGCGTCTGGCTTGAAGCGCACCACATAGGACACTTCCATGCCCGGGGCGATCTGCCACGGGATGGGGATGTCATTGGGGCCCAGGGGGAGGCATTTTGCGTGGCAAGGTTGATGGAAGCTACATGTGTCATGTGCATATAATTGCATATCATCTGTGTAATATACATTGTGAGTAATTAAGCAACAACCATGAGGTTTACAACCCCCTGTGGATTTGCCAAGCATGCCCTGGCCAGCCCATGGCGGTGCAGAACAAACAAGCATTTCAATGCGAAACCTATCTCGCCCGCCATTGAAGAGACAAATCATCAGAAAGGAATCATGATCTTCATCCAATTTTTAACTAAATCGATGCTGTATCAATTAAAACTAAATGATACTAAATGCATATCAACGATGCAATCTCAGAGAAATGGAGAGGAGACGTTCAACGATGATTTCAGTCCCTGTCTTCAGAAGGTTTGTTTCTCGGGTAATTCTACTGGTTGCTGGATAATTTATCCATGTGTGTTGCGTTCAACCGCCATGATAAAACCATCTCAAAACCATCGCAAATCCATCTCCAAAATACCAAGAGTCTCCATCCCCATCTAGTGAGTCCAAGTTCTTCTCATATGAAATACCCCAGTTTCACCACCCACAGTTGACCCGAGTTGTACTGGGGATGATAAAATCATCACGTCTTTAAGCAACCCACAAATTATGGGTGTGTTGAAAACATGATTTCGGGGGATGGGATTTTCCCATCCGACGTCAAGTTTCATAGATTCAGAAAAGTCATATTCTGCTGGGTGGTTTCAATAAATGTATATAATAATAGTGGTTAAAAAAACAATAATAATGGTTATATATGGGTTATATGATGGGATATATATATGATCATACTGGTAGGTGGTTGACCTACCCCTCTGAAAAGTCATATTCTGGTTGGTGGTTAAAAAACACCATCTTGAAAAATGATGGAGTTCGTCAATGGGAAGGATGACATCCATTCATATGAAATGGAAAATCAAATTCCATGGTTTGAGAGCACCAACCAGTATAGTGATTTCATGTGATTTCATATGATTTCATCTGATTTCATGTGATTTCATCTGATTTCATACATGTTTCGGCACAGATTTCAGGCGGTTTAACCCATGTCGTCTCCTTCCCAAACATCGAAAAACCGTGGATCCCCTCCACCGCGCCTTGTCTCGGGAGGCCTCGGCGCTGGCCAGCAGCCCGCTCTTGGCCACTTTCCGCATCGGCAGCAGCCTACAAACGGCTGCCGAAGTTACCGCAAAATCCATGGAGAGGTGATGAGATGAAGCAGTTTAACAATGGTAAATCATGGTGAATTAATGGTGATTAATCATGGTTTATTATGGCTAAATTATCCATTGTTATCATGGTGAACTATGGTTAATTATGGATGTTAATGCTTTGTCATGGTTTATTCTGGTGATTAATAATGATCAATCCGTGCAGAATGGTTAAGAATAATGGTGATGAATGGTGATGAATGGATTTACCCTCCGGCAAGCAAACGTGACAAGCAAAATAATCCTCAAACGAAGTGTAGGTTTTTATGGAAAATCATCTGTAAATGGGATTAATTTTCCATTGCCATGTTTGATTACTGGAGGGTATTGTTTAAAAGCCCCAAAATCCCCCAAAATCCAAGCCCAAAGATGCTTGATAAGCCGTTCTTGGTGGGTGGTTAACACTTAACCCTTAATGCATAACAGGCGGCCACTAAAAACATGGGATGGACAGCAATCCAGCCCTACGACTTTAGGATCACCACACTTTGGAATCAGCAACTCTCAGCGGGTCGGTTCTTTAGTCCTCGCCCATTTTTGGGTTGTAGGGAAGCAACTTTGAGCCATCCACAGTTCAAGTACTGTGACTTTTTTGTTGGAGAGCTGCTCCTTTTTATAGTCGCCACCATTGAATCATTGGTTTCAGTTTCCTTCAACATGGCCAGCACAAATCGCTTTCAACAGGATATTCCAGGGCCAGGTATGGAGAATAGTTGTGAGTGTTGCTTGCAATTTTCACATCTTTGCCGGGCAATCCTTGGTGAATGCTAGGTGAAAATAGGTGAAATAACTATCCAAAATATCCAAACATCGCCCCCATTCCGTTCAGAACCTCATTTCCCATGGTTTTCCCATGGTTTTCCCATGTCTTCCATCTTGCAAATAGCGACGAACTCAAACGCTGAGCTTCCGGGCTCAAAATAGGGGCTGTCTGGAGGACACACCTCCAGATGTACCAGTGAAATCCCCAAACCGAGAGATGCAACGTGAAATCCAAGGTACCCTCTGGTTATGTCAAAATAACTATGGAAAGATCCACCATGTTTCATGGGAAAATTCACCACAAATAAATGGTGGATCTTTCCATAGTGATTTTGACATAACCAGAGGGTAGTTTGCAACACATCACAGTTTCATGACATCCATGGTTTGGCAAAACGGATGTCTTTGAAATCACCACCAGTCTTGCCATTTCTCCGAAAATCGCTGGAGAACAACTCGCGCTTTTCGGCAGCATGGGGATGTTGGAAATAGGCTGTCATCACGGTGGATGAAATCCGTCCATGGATAGATACCCTCTGGTAAACGTTTACAAAAAATTAAAAAAACGATGGAAAGATCCACCATGCTATGAAAATTGGTAAATCCACTATTTCTATGGCTATTTCCAAGTTCGCAAACTGTTAACGTTTACCAGAGGGTAACTATGGCACCCCGCAGATCCCTTGACCGCTGATTTTACTAGGCAGCTGGGTGTCTCATTTAGCCCACGCTAATTTTTGGTCTCACACCATCCATTTCATCCATTTTGGGGTCATATTATCTATCCATCATTGGATAATGATCAAAAAAATATCAAACATGATTGATCAAAAATGATCAAAATGTCCCAAAAACTGCTGAACACGCTTACCCACCTCACAACAGAGGTCTAAGCATCTTCCATCACGGACGTCAGCATGGATCAACCATTGATCAACCTTTCAAAATCATTCAAAATCTGCATATATACAAAAAAAAACAACCAACGAAAATCCGAAAATCGAAAAAAAAAAAAAAAAACACATTCAAAAAAAACACATGTTTCCAGAAACAGATCCGGAGTTACAGATTGTTCCTCACGCCTTGACGCGCCGGGCCACGGTATCCTGGTTCCGCAGCGTCACCGTGGTCTGGCGGGTTTGGCGTGGCATGGCGATGGGGAAAACGATGGGAAAATGATGGAAAATCCATGGGAAAATACGATGTAAATGGAGTAAATCGAAGTACCCTCCGGTAATGACTAACATAACTATTGAAAATGGCCATCTATCATAGAAATAGTTGATTTACCCATTAAAAATTGTGATTTTCCATAGCTATGTTAGTTTACCAGAGGGTATATTAGGGAACATATGATGAAAATATCATAGATGATTGAAAATTGGTTTTGGTGAAGAATTACCGAAACTGGGAAGATCTGAAATATATGTTTGGCAAGTACATATAGGAACTGGTGTTCAGGTATGTACCAAAAAAAATGAAATAGAGTTCAGGTATGTCAGATATGGAAATCAAACATGGACTCAGTATCTTAATGGCATAGCTGAAATATCTTCAGTTCATCGAAACTGGTATTCACCAACGATGTTTCTGATATCTCCAGTCCCATGGATTGAGTGAAATAGCCCCAACTAACAGTTCGGCCCGGAAGAGTTTGCCAGTTTTGAATGGAAACTCATCTTCCAACCCCGCAACTCATGGAGGGTCTCGATGCTCATTGATTGAAAAACCCGTCAATTTCAGGATGGTGCCCCCCAGTGATGTTTGTTGGCTTATAAACCCCATGAAAACTAGTTCGTTATATCTGCCACAAACCATAGTGAAATGGGAGTTATTTGCACCAACTTAGCTAACGAACTGGGGCACCACCAAACGTTTGGTGCTTTCAACACTTTCAACCCCCCTAAACCGAACGCACGAAATCGGTGCCTCATAGGTTTGCAGCCCCTCAAAGTTCATGAAGCCAACCACCGGCGGATGAACACTGGCCGCGGCGTTTCGAGGAAAGAAACTCATCCCGGAAGATACGAGCTTCGTCAACTCTTGGCAATGGAAAATACCCTAAATATGGGGGAAAATGGCAGAAAAATATTGGAAAATATGAGGACATCCCCGGACTCAATGGAGGTGTTAATGGGAAAATCATTCAAAAAATGGAGAGTTTTTCCGTAGAGTACGTTGATGTTCATCACAATTATGAATGTATGTATAATATAGCGTGCCACAAAAAATAGAACAGAAAATTACGAAATATTCCGATAATCTAGGATTTTATGTTTCCATCGTTTTGGGGTTGCTATCATATGCATGCATATTATACATTTATGTAACCAAGCAGGATCTTGATGACGGGTTTGCACTCCGAAACCAGGAGCTGAGGATTCGACCCAATTGTTGGTTTCATGATGTGGAATTCCCATCCTCACAAGTGAACTTACCAACTAATGATTTATCATGTCAGGATTGCATCTTAGCAAATTCTTCCCTGAGAAACACCAAAAATTGGGAATTCAGGGAAGTTCACTGCTCACTGAAATGTAAAGTCAAATCCTAGTAAACTTAGTAAACTAATTAGCCCAAAATGTTTCCTGAGATTCCCTTAGACATTTTTGGGTTAGTTCCACTGTTGGTTTGTCCTCCCACAGGCCCCCATGGGAGTTCCCCACCAATTGGTTACTTAAAAAATACAAATAAAAAGACGGAAAGATTGTCTGAAATTGAGTGCCAAAACGGTTTGTAACCCCAATCACCACAGTATTCATGTTTTTTAACCAACTTCTAACTGAGGGGCCCCACCTTGCATCTTGTTCAAGAATATTCGCACCAGTGGTGTCGCTGTCTTGTTTATTCAGGCAATGATCCTTTTTGTAGGCGGCTTCCTGCTACTTCACAGTTGGTGCAGTTTTTGTTCGCAGTTGTGCAGACACCCAGAACATTGGAGTCCAAATGGGGAATCGAATCACATGGAAACTCATTTGGAACCCCCGAACTTGGGGGTTTGAAAGACTATCATCCCACTGGAAATTGCGAAAAAAACCAGCGCCTAAAGAGAGGCTGGTCGACGGGCACCACGGACCTCGCTTCGAGACAAACCCGCTTTTTAAACAGCTCCACAATCCATTTCAAAATCAGCCGGATCTAATTATATTTATATTATCTATTTATTTACTTATATTCACTTCTTCATTTATTTATTATATATATATACTATTGTATACGGTATAATGTATAACCCTGCTAAATTCCATTGGAATATGGATGGGTAGAAATGTTTATTGACTTCCCCCACTAGACAGACCTGGTATATATATATATATGTATATATATATATATATTCTTTGGTGAGCACCATGCCATGCACTTCCATGTCCAACATGTACCTCATTCATAGTCACCAAATGTCACCAATAACTTGGATACTTTGGGATATCCCCATGACTTCGCAAACCTCCAAATGATGATGAACCAGTAGATTTATAGATGATTTCCATATGATGTCCATATGATTTCCAACATCACTGCGGATGCGTTTGGGACCCTTGCGGTCACCCTTACTCTCTCAGGGTTCCCAGGCGTGTTGTGGTTCGAAAACAAGGCCAGGTCTTGGAAGCCCGTGATCCTCGGAGAGATGGAGAGAAAACTCATGAAGAACACAGGAGAGATAAACAGCTTGAATCCTGAAGTTATGGTGGTATGTATGTATATATATATATATTTATTTATTTATACATATTATATAATATCATATTTGGTGTTATTATATTATATCATTTCATAAAATACTGTACTATATTATATTATATCATATCATATTATATTACATTATATTAGATTATATTATTTCACATTATGATATTATATTATGATCTTATATTACGATATTATCTTATGATATTATATTATGATATTATATTATGATATTATATTATGATATGATATTATATAATATTATATTTTATGATATTATAAATCAAAATACATATTATTATATCATATTATTTTATATTATAGTACAATATATTATATTATATTTGATTGTATCATAATATTTTATATAAAAACATATAGTATCATATTATATATATATATTATTTTTTATATAATACATTAATACATTATATCATAATATATTATAGTGTAATTGCTTGTATTATAGTACATTGTTTTAAAATATATTATATCAAAAATATATTATATTATATTATATTATGTTATGTTATGTTACAATATATTATGTTACGTTATAAAATATTATATCATATTATATTGTATCATAGCATATTATATTATATCAAAACATACTGTACCATAATATATTCTATACATATTATATTATCATATATTTTACTATATTATATTATATCATAATACATTATACTATATTAAATTATATTATATTCTATCATATCATATAATATTATTATATTATATTGTATTATATCATGATATATCATATTCTATTAAATATCATATTATATATAACATTGTATTGTATTATATTGTATTGTGATGTATTATATCATATTATATTTTATTGTATTATATTGTACTGTATTATATTATATTGTATTATATTATATTAGTTTATATTATATTGTATTGTATTCCGTTTTTTATAGTATATTAAATAATATTATAGTATATTATATAATACTATAGTATATTATATAATACTATAGTATGTTGCATTATATTCTATTCTCTTATATTATATACTATCTTATATTATCTTATAGTATATTATTATATTATTATTTTATATTATACTACATTATATTACATTATATATTATATATTATAAATATATATATTATAATTATATGTTATTTGTTTAATCAAATTAAATTATATTATATTATGATACTATAGTAATATTGATATATATTGTGTTGTATTTTATATATTGTATTATATTATATTATATTACATAATTACATTATATAATATATGTATATCCCATGTTCAATACCATGTAAAGAGCTGGAAATACTCAATTTTTCGGTGGTCATGCTTGGAACCACTTGAAAAGCACTTAAAGTGCGTACCGTTCTTGAAGGGCGCGTGGATCGAATTATCCAAAAACTGGTTGAAGCAAGACAAATCGGTATATGTGATGTGTGCGGCAATCACTAGTGCATCACCCAACCATACCAAAGGTTGCCCAGAATAATTCACTAAT